CCTGGTGCCACAGTATGCTTCAAATGTGGCCAGGACACTCACTGTGTAAATGCCTGCCCCTCTCTTAAGGGTAGGTTGAGTTAGCTTTCAAGCTAACTTATGTGAATGTATCTGTATTGTGAGTCCAAGCCACCATAGATACATTATATCACTCCAAAGAGTGGCTGGTGAAGCCACTTGTGTTTATAACCTGATGACTTTATCTTTATACTTATTTACCATGATCTACTTTAATGTTCATGTAGGCCAGTTTTCTCAGTGAGAAAATGTTTGCTTACTTATGTGAATATAAGAAAGAAAACTATTTTTTTCTTTCCTGAAGTATTTCTGTTCTATTCCTGATGTTTCCGATCTTATGTCTACCATATGAGCTGTTGGGGCTTCGATTCTTGTTAAGCTTTAAACACTTTGCTCAGTGGTAGTGATGACATGACCTCAAAGAGGGAACTATTTATTTTTTGATATGTTATGGATTACCAGTGACCTGCTTTACTCAAGCAATGGGGTTCATTGTGAACATTGGCCTGATCAACCAATGTTCACAGACATGAAGCCTGTTTACGCTTGGGGGAACAGGTCTATTGGAATCCAAAGGACATTGCAATATTAAAGTTTTGTCCCTGCTTCTGTTTAAATTAGGTGGATCAACTTGTGACACTCTGGGGGTGAGTGCCCGATGGACAAGAGCTCTGTCCATTTGCTTCATCGAAGTGTTTCCCTACTACTGACTTTGTAGGTTCCCCTCATACCCCCAGTTCCACTTCAAGCAACTGTCCCAGCTTGTGACCCCATCCACTGCAATGGATGTTCCAATCAAGTTTGAATCCTACCTTGCCTCCCTCCCTACTGCCTTTGTACTAAAAGGGCAATGGTGACTGAATTTGAATCATTCCCAGTGCAAATGTTATGAGATATTATCTGAATCCTTCCAATTGGAAACTGTTTTTGAAAGGATATATCTTGAAGATACGTTTGATTGATTCAATCTCATTTGACAACCCTTTATTTTTGGCCAATTCACATCATATCATGTGATATTCAAAATTGTACTATGTGATTAACCAGTCTTATTTCCAGGACTGTAACACTTCTTATTCCAGTCCAGCATGAACCATATGATGACCTTCAACAAAATGAACATTGTACACTCTGCTGACTGAAAGTAATGTGAACGGATGAACACTATCATGATTGACTTTGAATTAAACTGTGACCAACTATCTGGAGAATCCCATGAATTGACTTTGGGAGCCACTTATAATATTGACAATGCAAATTCAGGCTTATGAACAGAGAAAAGTACTCTATACTTATATTAATTACTGTGCAGTTTTGTGAAGCCTCTGCACATTGAGAAAGGCCATGAAGATTGACTGACAATCTCAACTTTACATTGTTCTAGAGACTATGCACTGCCAAATGCTGATTGAACATATTCATATTCCCATTCTATGATTGGAAACAAGTAACAATGCCTGCATCATCCATATATGTGATGATATGAACTCGTGATAAACTTAGTGCAAACAATATGGATAATACTCCAACCCCTTCCAAGAACCACGATCTGCAAGAAGAGGACGAAGAAGACAACTGATGCTGCAAATGACATTTATCATTTAACGTCATTTTGTATAATACTGTTATATGATAACCTTTATATGTCATGTATTATAGGTGAGAAATTAAAAACGTGTAAACTAACATTTGTTTGATTTAGACTTATGGTTTTTATGTAAGTAGTGAACTGATAATGTATTATTGTGTATGTATGTCTATCTACTACTTAAGTCAGAACAATGTTGCTAGTAAATTATTTTAGGTGATGTATTGATACATGACTTCATATTTTCAGAGTTCGAGGACGAACTGTTTTTAAAAGGGGGAGCAGTGTGACGATCCTTCAGATTTCTTTGAGCATGGTAATGGGATTGCCTTGAAGGATTGTCACTTTGTTTCACTTTTGCACTTACTTACTTTTTGTAGTCACTCTGATTAATGTTGTATTTAATATATGTAGAACTCTTTAATATTTTGCAAAAGGGTTGTTGATATAGACAGGCAGTTGCCCTGGACTAAAATTGAGAGTGTCAATTTCATTTATTTAAGATCCATTGAATTGGGGTCCTCACTTGTTTTTATCATGTAACTATAAACTTTATATTTGTATATATTATGCCAAAATTGTGTAGAGTAGTGACAGTGTATACTTTTTGTTATAAAACTGGTCAGTTTCATGTTAGCAACTGCGCTGTAAACTTTCATTCAAGGGATAGCCAAACTTCACCAGGCTTGTTTACTTTTATCCAAAACGAGGCTAGGCTGGAGATCAGCTGTTTTAGCTCAGTGATTCTGTCTTGTCTGGGGACTCTCTCCATTGCATTGAAACGGGCCGGACGTGTATAACTTTTTGGAATTATAACATTCAAAAACGCAACTCAAAACTGGATATTTATATAAACACAGATATACCAACTTAGGTGAACAAGTTGGGGAAGGTAATTGAATTGATTTTATTGTAATTTTGACAGGTTTTTGACCACTGTAGTATCTTTTATTTTTTTCTTATCTGAGTTAGCTTGTATAACATGTATAAACACTCATTTAAAACTGTTTAGGGGATTTATTGCTAAAGGACTACTGTTGATTTGGATTATATAAAGTTTCTAGCGTCTTTTGGATCAGCTTGAGCTTTGAACTGATTCAGTCTTATTCCATACTGGCAATAACCCCCGCTTAGACAGTAAAGCTCCTTCTCAGATAATTGTCTGTAGTTGGGCTTTATCACTCACTCCCTAATTTAAATCCCAGTACCCGTTTCTGTGATTTTTCACCGCCAGTTTGGTTGGAGGAACTTCAATAAGAACAGGGGTCACTGTGTGCCGACAAGCCTTAAAGGTCACGGCAAGCCATTTCAAGCTCATTTGGCTTCAACTGGCTTATTAGAGCTTCCCATATATTTACCACAACTCCCCCCCCCCCTAAAGGTCACGGCAAGCCATTTCAAGCCCATTTGGCTTCTTTGGGCTTTCCATTACTATTTAGACTATTTACTGCAACCCCTCCCCTTATACATGTTATACCAAAAACACTGATTGTATTTATTTCTAGTCAGTTTTACACGTCTGGCCTTACTATATATTGTTGCTTATAATAGATACATCATTCACTATTCTAGATCTTTTAACTTGGAATGATTTCTCATATTATATATCTGTTTTGATTTATAAACCTGAAATTGAGAGAGAACTTTTTGAACAATTGTAAATTCGAGAAGTCCCGGGAATTGTTATGGAACATTTGACAAGGCGTACGTAAAGTTATGGTCTTTAGGAACCGATGTAACTTATTCTAAACCAGAGTCAATGTTCCTAGGGTTCCATTGAATAATCTTTATGACCCCCCCCCCCTCCACATTCAACTTGAGACTGTATTAATTTTATTCGCCAAAGTAACTTTTATTGACCCATTAGAAAATACACTTTTGTATCTTTGTATCTTTGTATGTGTATGTTCATGCCTGGTTATTTTAAAAGGGATCCGAGCATTCTTTCTGACTATGATCAAACAGCTGATCACTGATTCTGCACACAGTACTTGCAGAGTCAAAGTCAGTATTGAAGCCAGTTCATAAGGCTTTAAGCCTATTTGAGATGCTGTCTAGACACTATGACCACCCCCTGACTACATAGCTTGAGTTGGTATAGATTCCATTTGGGGTCTTTTAGCCTTGCGCTTGCTTGTTTGGGGTTCTAGTCAGTGTTTACCATCTACCCCTCCCCATTTAGTTTCCATATCTGGTCAATATCTATGTTAACTATATTCTCTATATAGTTCTTCAATTATTGACAGATTTTATGCAAGAATACTTAAATACCTTACCCCTTTGTTTGCTAATTGTGGGGAAAACTACATTCCACTTTTCATGTGAGTAGTATAGGAAGGTGATTTCAACCCCACTAGAGATCATACATAACTAAGCTGTTGAGTTTCATTTTTGGAAAGAAACACATTTTGGGCTTTATTGCAAATTGATTTACTGAACTTCCACTGACTTTGCTGTTTTGTGCATTGTGTATGAGAGATCATTTGTGTACTTGATATACCATTTGACTATACTGATTTTGTAAGTTTTGTGTAGATTAGTAATAGAAATAGAGTCGTTTTTATACGTTATATAAAAATCCATTTACTTCCACTGTTTTGTTATTCGTGTGTTTAAATGGTGAATTAGTAATATTATCCCCTGATGAGTTTGACAGACTCCTGATTTGAAAAAGCCCTACTTTAAGCATTACAAAGTTTCCCACTTTAATTGTGAAAAGTGACAACTTGAAGCCCATTGTAGCCCTCAAGTGGCTGCAACTTGACTTCCACCTGGTCATACTCACGCCCTAACTTCATACTTATTTGATGCAATTTAACACTGGGCATATTCAGAATCTTGAGTTTGTTGCCATTTGCTTTTATGAAATATAAAATTTACATTGAACACTGAGATATCTAACTAAGCCTATACTTAGATATTGTTATCCCATAACTGTTATCCCGAAATTGTCCCACTTCATCCCAATTATTTTTTATCCCAGAATTTATCCCTAAATTATCCCGTAAATTTTCATCGCAAAATTTATCCCAATTTTATCCCCTATATATTTATCCCCACTTTATCCCATTTTGTTAGGTACTGTGAACACAGATGTTGTTCAATTAAATAGGGGATACACTTTTCAACTTTTACTTGAACTTGTTCCGAAACTAAGTGAATGAAAACATCAAATCAAATTATTGACTCTTAGACTGTATTCTGTTTGTGACCCTCAAACCACGCTACCATACGAGGGTCGCGACAGATGTTCTAATATTGAACCCTTCAAAGACTGTATCATGTCCAACGAACGTGGGTAGGTGAGTATGAGGTAGGAGGTTTTTAATACAAAGCCCAGTGTATAACATTTGATTTTTGCTGAATTACTATTGTTACTGTGTTATCTTTATAGGTTTGATCCTGATAGATTCAGTCCTGAAAATAGTAAACTTCGACCTGACATGGCCTTCCAACCATTTGGGTTTGCAGGGAAGAGAAAATGTCCAGGCTACAGGTAACAAACCAAACAACCTTTTTTGTTAAGCATTTGTGACATATGGTTGTTTTAATCTTTTTTTTAATCAAGATAGGGTATAGATCCCGTCCAAAAATAACACCCTCAGGAACATAAGATTAGCCTGTAGAAGTGAATCAGTTGTCAGGGGTATACAATATTCAGTCATATTTTGATTGATTGATTGTTGCCTGTGGTATATCTTCAGGCATTTTGGGGCATTTTTGGGGCTTTTTTGTTAAGCATTTGTGACATATGGTTGTTTTAATCTTTTTTTTAATCAAGATAGGGTATAGATCCCGTCCAAAAATAACACCCTCAGGAACATAAGATTAGCCTGTAGAAGTGAATCAGTTGTCAGGGGTATACAATATTCAGTCATATTTTGATTGATTGATTGTTGCCTGTGGTATATCTTCAGGCATTTTGGGGCATTTTTGGGGCTTTGTATAAAAAGCCTCCTACCTCATACCCACCTACCCACCTACTTGGAACATGATACAGTCATTGAAGGGTTCAATTTTAAAGATTATGAATCTCAAAATAGCTCAAATTATTAATATTTCTACAATTCCGGCTCTATTTTATGACTAGACAGATCCATAAATAAAGGCATATGGATGCATTTTAATGTGTAATGACCCGAGGGCGGCCCAGGGGAAAAGATAACTAACGACCGCGAGCATAGGTCCAACAAGCCAGATAAAGAAATTGAAAGAAAGTGGCTTATGGGCCATGTAAACCAGCACAGAATATGCAAATTAGATAGATACATATATGCATATATATACAGATGCATATATCTATATATGCCAGCACAGAATATGCAAATTAGATAGATACATACATTATTATATGTATTCATATATATGTATGATATATATACAAGCATGGAATATGTTAATTAGATAGACTAGATACATATATAGAACTACAGTAGATACATAACAATTAATTTATTAGTTGGCAGAGAATATGTTAATTAAATAACAATAATTCATGAATATCTTACATTGAGATATCTATGAATATGCTTTAATTTATGAGATATGTGTGTATTGTATACATGTTATATATGTATGTATTTGTATATATCTTCTAAGCTGGTCCCCAGTCCCCAGTTCCCAGTTTGAGATATCTATATTGTTATATATAATATGTATGTATTTGTATGTATCTTTTAAGAAGGTCCCCAGTCCCCAGTTCCCAGTTTGAGATATCTATATGCTATATATAATATGTATGTATGTATTTGTATGTATCTTCTAAGCTGGTCCCCAGTCCCCAGTTTGAGATATTGCTATATATAATATGTATGTATTTGTATGTATCTTTTAAGAAGGTCCCCAGTCCCCAATTCCCAGTTTGAGATATCTATATTGTTATATATAATATGTATGTATTTGTATGTATCTTCTAAGCTGGTCCCCAGTCCCCGGTTCCCAGTTTGAGATATCTATATGCTATATATACTATGTATGTATGTATCTGTATATATCTTTTAAGAAGGTCCCCAGTCCCCAGTTCCCAGTTTGAGATATCTATGTTTGTGTATATTTGTATGTATCTTCTAAGCTGGTCCCCAGTCCCCAGTTCCCATTTCGAGATCTCTATGTTAAAGTACATAAACTATTTTAAAGTAAATTTTAATCATTCAGATCAAGATTCATCTTGATCCATTCTCTTTTATGAGTTGATAGCAATATACACTGAGGATGAATCCTATATAAAACCTCATTTAGCTGTGATTTCTTCAAAATTTAAGACAGAGAATAAATTATGGCATCTACCAAAATTTTAGACCTTTCTCTACAAGCTGTGATAATTCATGCAAGTATAAGGAAAGTATAGCCTGTTGCAGGGGTTCACTTTTTTGGACCACCCTGTATATTGACTTCTCTTATTACATGTTTAATGGTCTAGACTGAACTGGTGTAGGTGGAAGAGTCATCTAATAGTCATTAAGTTATCATCTTTACATAACACTTTAAAATCCAAGAACAGCCAGATTTTATTTAGGCAGAACTTCTATGTCTATCTGATATATAACAAAATATGTGAAAATTGAAAGATTGGCCTTTTTGTTATCCTAGTCAAAAGTTTAACCTTTCCATATAGACTGAAGAGTTGACATCCTGGATATTTAGGAGAACCTGTAAAGGATTGGTATTGATATGGTGAACTTTTTGAACACACTTTTCTCTTAAATCAGTCATCAAAAATTTCTATAAATTACATATTGTCAATTTAATGGTCATCTTTTGAATGGTAACAATATAATTTGAAAAAATGTATATACTTTTCTCTATATTGTTTTAGAAAACACATCAAACACTTCTTTTGCTTCTGGTTTCATATGCTCAGAATGAAATGAAACATCTTTCCGAACCTGTTTTGAACAAAATGACATAAACACAACATGTTTAACTCTCTCTACAAAGGAAATTTTGGTTGATTTTAAAAAAGTGTTGATGAAATAAAAGGTTTATCTTGATTTTTATCTATTTTTGGGGGTTTTGTTTTACTTTTTTTCTAATTTTGCTTCAATATATTGAAAAGGTAGAGAATTCATAATTCATTGAAATACATTAGACTGAAAGCTTCTGAAATTGACTCTCTATTTAAAATCAGTATCAAGATAAGACATAAAATGATCCATCTTAAGTCGACACATATGTTTGGATAACTAACAGCTTATCAGCTTTATAGTGCTTCATATAACTGTATAATTCTTTTCCAATTCAATCTGGAGACAGATTATTTAAGTTATGTAAGTTATGGGTTTGTCTCATTACTGTAGTCTTGACTGGATTAACTGTTTTCCTCTAGAAGATAGGTTTCAGGCTGATTCGATGTATAATTCAAAGACAATTTTAAAGAGTTCTTAAAAGTGAAAGTTCTGTTAAGTCTGGAGTAAAGTTAAAATTTCTATAATGAAATATGAAGTATAAAATATCTACATTGGAATCACTTATATTTTTAGACATACTATGACCATTGCCATTTTTGACCTATATACCTATCATAGGCGTAGTCAGGAGGTAGGGGCGATGACCAATAAAAATAAGAGCTTTAAAATGCATTTTGTTTGAAGCTTCTAGCTAATAGCAAAAATTTGGCGATCGCGACCCCCCCCCCCAGTCTGCTGGTTGCGCTAATGCCTTTTATTTCCACATATAGGGTAACTCAGTGAACTTAAATATACAAGTTAAATGTTAAACGTTGCTCAAAAGTTTGTGTAACTGATATCTACCTGGTGTGCTCATGTGGCCAGTATTAGATCAGATAGAGAAAAAAATATAACACCTTCATTATGAACTAGCAGCTCATACCCAAACAGAAGAATAAAAGTCTGTACAAATTGATTGATGCTGTATGCCAAAAAACAGGTTTTAAAATGCTCATAAATATTAGATAACTTAAACATGCAATATACTGGAGTAATACTACTCAGATAACATTTTGGTTATTTTACCTTGATATTTGAAGACAATTGTTAAATACATAAATATTAGATTTACTATTGTACTTTTTTGTTACAATGTTATTCACCTTTCCACAAAGTCAGCTAATGAATATTATAATGAGCTGCTTAGAAATCTGTGACGTCAATGAGAGAAACTTTTTCCCGCGAAAAACAAATGCGATTGAGTTAACATGTAAATCCTCATTTGATTGCTGTAAGTTTTACCTCTTCAAATGTGCAAGTAATCAGTAAATTATTGACGGATTTTTATTGAAAGTCAAATTGGCATTTATTTGCGCCTTCTAAGCGATTGAAATATTAAATTTCTGTTCATAATGAGTAAATAATTTGAAGAGAATTACTCCGGTCAGTTTTCAATCATGATAGGAACTGGATGTGAACAGGTGAAATGATCATAATCATCAGTTCACTAACATTATAACATGTCTCTCATGCATATAAATATATAGATAGACAATCTATTTTAAGTAATCTTCAGTTGTCATTTGATGAATGGCCTGTTCAAATGAAAAACATTTGACTTCACTACTTCCATGATTCAATCAACTAAACGATTACTTCCTATTTATTTCTGCAAGTCATATCAGATCATATCTTGAAAATACTATACTTGAAAACATCGGGATATATAGAGATTATCCTATGTGAGGTTCAGGATATTATGGCCCTCTGGCAGATATATTTTATTGGCCAAGGGATAATCCAAATATCCTGAACCGACTATAGGATGATTTGTTTATCCCATACCAATCACATTGTTCCATTGGCCAAAGTTCAGAAACTTTGCAACCAACCGTAGAATTATTATAAAATGTCCAGTTTCGTATTCTTGTTTCTTTTCCTGTTCAAATCTTTGATTATTAATGGAGTATACTGCTCCTTCCCTTCTTTAACGCATCAAACAGATCGCAATTGTCTGCGTTTTTCTCCATTACAGTATGCGAACGTTACAAAAAGGAACCAATACGGGAACAGTGATTATGACGTAGCGGGCAGATATACTATATCTGACCGCTCGGAGCGGGACGTAAAGCCATATCTGCCCGTTGATGAAAATATAAGTTTTTACAAACCGGCTTTATGTACCCGTAACACACGGGTATAATCGCCGCTCGCACATTTGTTCATAATTTGTAACGTTCGTGTAATGGCTGTAAACGACAATGGAGAAAACACAGACAATCAGGATCTGATTGATGATTTAAAAAAGGGAAGTAGCATCCACTTAATCAATCAAAAATTCGAGAAAATAAATGTGGGAATATCACGGCCAAGAAAACAAAACTGGACATGAATATTCTAAAATATATCCACAGTTGAACAATGTGAACCAGATGACCAAGATTAGTATGGGATAAACATATTATCCTATAGTCGGTGCGGCCCTCGGGCAGATATATTATATTGGCCTCGGGATAATCCCAATATCCTGAACCTCATATAGGATAATCTCTATATATATTCCAATGTATATTTCCCGCTGTGTATCTCCCAATCCAAATATTCCGGGGAAAATGTTTTTTATTCAGTGTAGAAACAGTCAATTTGTAAAAGTATCTTGCTAAAGCAAAACTGTCAAAATAGATCCACCAGACTGTATAATTATTCTTAACCAAAATGATGATGGATTTCTTGATTATAATGAGAATGAGAACGCTTAATGAAAAAACCTGGATATGCAGGTGTCCTGAAAACTTCACTTGTAAAACCTCACTTTTCATAGAATAAATTAGTTATGTGATGATCGGTTTTGAATAATGATCACTGGGAAGATTTCAGAGAAAGAGCGTATATCATACAATGTTTATTGATGATATGTTGACATTGCCGATCATTATTGACTGATGGCGAATAAGTACCAAAAGGTAACGCTTTGTGCGAATGTTATGTGAATTTCTGATGGAATTTCTTACTACGACATAACATTTAACAGGATATTGTATGACCACTATCAAATAATTTAACCGAGTCATTTTTAACTTCTCAATTTACATTTTTTGTTTACAATCACACGAGACATGTGAGCCCGGGTATGTGAGGCTGATCTGAGAAGTCTTAATAAACAATAGCTCTGTCAAAAAATGATTAAATTAAATTACATAAGATTCGGAATGAAAGTGCCCCGTCCATATTTCATATTTGACTCAAATTAATTAGTGCATTGGGCAAATAGAATCCTTTTTATTGCAGTTAATTCAAAATATTCCTATGCTGGCTGTATACTAATTCTTCAAAACTTTCAGGCATTGACATCATTGATTTGACTCATTTGCATACAACCAATCAGCGCGCCGGAAATTATCGATTTTCTTTACTTTGTGGAAAGGTGAATATTAATTTCATATTCTGTCAATGTTTAACAAACGTACATATTAGATTTACAATTGTACTTTTTTGTTACGATGTTATATTCATTTCATATACTGTCAATGTTTAATACAAATACCTACATATAGATATCTCAAACTGGGAACTGGGGACTGGGGACCAGCTTAGAAGATACATACATACATACATATGACATAGATATCTCAAAATGGGAACTGGGGACTGGGGACCAACTTATAAGATACATACAAATACATATACATGTATACACAAACATAGATATCTCAAACTGGGAACTGGGGACTGGGGACCTTCTTAAAAAGATACATACAAATACATACATATTATCTGATTATATATAGCATATAAATATCTCAAACTGGGAACTGGGGACTGGGGACCTTCTTAAAAGATACATACAAATACATACATATTATATATAGCATATAGATATCTCAAACTGGGAACTGGGGACTGGGGACCAGCTTAGAAGATATATACAAATACATACATATATAACATGTATACAATACACATATATCTCATAAATTAAAGCATACTCATAGATATCTCAGATATTCATGAATTATTGTTATTTAATTAACATATGCTATGCCAACTAATAAATTAATTGTTATGTATCTAGTCTATCTAATTAACATATTCCATGCTTGTATATATATATCATACATATATATGAATACATATAATACTGTATGTATTTATCTAATTTGCATATTCTGTGCTGGCATATAATATATATATGCATGAATACATAGATATATGTATGTATACATATATGTATCTATCTAATTTGCATATTCTATGCTGGTTTACATGGCCCATAAGCCAAGAAAGTGTACGTGCTAAATTCGATGCTCCGAGCGGGAATCGAACGCAGCTGGGATGTAGTAGCAACTTGCTATCAAGGGTCATGACAAATGCATCTATAATTCATCATAAACTAAGGTTTAGGTTTTCTTAGTTTATGATGAATTATAGATGCATTTTATTCCCCTGGGGCGCCCTTGGGTCATTACACATTAAAATGCTTTCATATGCCTTTATTCATGGACCTGTCATCTGTCTAGTCATAGAATAAAGCCGGAATTGTAGAAATGTTAATAATTGAGCTATTTTGAGATTTAATAATCTTTAAAATTGAACCCTTCAATGACTGTATCATGTTCCAAGTAGGTGGGTAATTTTTGGGAATGATTTCAGGGAATATGATAAGGGAATATGTTGTCTTGGGTGAATATATTCAGTACTACCACTGTATCTTGCGAATGATATATTGAGATGTAAATATTCAGATGTACCTTGTGAATAAGTTGTTCTGATAGCCATCCATATTTATTTCTAGGTTTTCCTATATTGAAGTCCAAGTGTTGGTGGCAGAGATCCTACGCAAGTTCCGTATCAAGTTAGTAGAAGGCCAAGTTGTCATGCCTGTATATGGATTTGTGACTAACCCCAAGGAAGAAATCTGGGTTACGTTGGAAAAACGTGGAAATGAGGAGTAGAGATGTGAAACACTTCCCATGTGATTCATAAGCTCACATCGCTTAATATTCATGGAACACTATAGTCTTATCATGACAGCATGCTCTAGCATCTAATGTACCCATCAGTGGTAGAATTTTGGGGGATTTTAATTTGTGATGGTTGTGGAATCTTTTTTTTCAAAATGACAGGACAATGAGGACATTGTCAGCTTACCTAAGAAAATATAGCTTTTCTGTAGACCATTGTAAATGGGGCGATTAATGGAAAATGAACATTTCTGATAAAAGATTCTTTTTTCTAGACCATCACGAATGGGGTGAAAACAACACATTTGCAGCAAATGAACAGAGTCCAACTTTTTGGATCGAAAATTATACCCTTTTCTAGATCATAACAGAACAGATAGAGTTAAAACATCACATTTGCCAAAAATAACCAAGAAAAGGGATCGTGTAAAAAACGGATGACCAGGTAGCTTGGTGACCTGATGACCGGGTACCTAACGTTCCTAGCAGGGTTACCAACTATCAAAGTTTTTAGGCTTGATATATAAGGGTTATGTACTGGGAGGTTTAGGATATGGGGTTTATCCAGAGGGAGATATGCATATCTACCTTAGGGACCGAAGGTAGATGTGCATATCTCACGAGGGATGAACCCAATATCCAAACCGACCGTACATAACTGCTTTATCCTATACCAAGTAGAGTTTTCAGGGGTATAGTCATTTTATTGTATTTCCACTTTTAAGTTTTAAATACATTGATAACTTTTTGAAATACAAAAGTGTTGTTTAACAATATAACAAAAGGATAAATGTATCCAAAAAGTTGAAAAAAAGAAATTTTGAAAAAAATTGAAAAAAATGTGAAAATGTTTTTTCAAAAAATTTATATATTTTTTAAATTGAAAAAAAAATTGAAAAGAAATTTTGAAAAAATAATTGTGAAGTGAAATTACCGGAAGCGGGAAGATATGCACCGAAGCGAGAGATATGGTGGGAGATATGGAGGTTCTGGATATGGAAACCTCAAAATCAAGATACGGGATATATCTTACCAACTTATCTCCCTAAAACTCTACTTGGCGTAGGATAAAGATGTATATACATACATGTATAATCATTGATTTATGCAACTTTTGTAAAAAAAATAACAACATTATACTTACATATATTTCGTCAAATTTTTGCGGAGGCAAATTTACTTTTTGCTTAATTCATGCCAAATCCGCTTAAATGTTGTTAAATCTGCTTAAATGTTCCTGAATTTGCTTGGATGTTGCCAGATTTACTTGAATTTTGCACAACTGGCATTGTGAGTAATTATTCAAGAACACATTCCAATAAAAACATGATTTGTGGGAGAATGTTCACTTTCTGTATTGTCATAATTATGATGAATTCCATTTTTTATTAAATTATCAACATGTTTGGAGATAATCATGTATTTATTTTTGAGTCATTTCTTTAAATCATCATAAAAAGTACAAAATAATATAATATAGCTGTTTTTGTTAACATATTTTGTTTTTTAGTGCAATTGTTTTTTGTTCTTTTCTACCAATTCTTGAAAATAAAATGTCTTTCCTAACCTTGTTGGAAAAAAATAACGTATACAATTTCTTAGACCTCTCAATATTATAGCTCTACAAAGGAAATTTTAGTTGATTTAACAAAAAGTATTAAGATAAACCTGACTTTTATAATCTGACTTTTATTTCATGAACAAGATACTTCTTGAAAATCAACCAAAATTTCCTTTGTACAATTACAATATTGAGAGACTTAAACACGTTGTGTTTATGTCATTATCCCATCGAACAAAGTTCGGAGGGATATAGGGAACGCCTCCGTCCGTCCGTCCCCCCGGTTGCTATTCTATGTGTCTTTTTGTCTGGACTTTTTTCCCCTGTGTCAAGACACACAAAAAATGTTGCCAAAAGGTCTATTTTCAACCCTTCTGTGTTTTCCAAAAGTTATCTGAGAAGACACATAAAAATGTGTCAAGGTCCAAGTCCAAGTCAATTGATGTCCAGGTCCCTATAAAATAATATAACATCAGTGTTGTGAACATTTCTTAAAAACTGTTACACTAAATTTGATTGGTCAAAATGATTTGATTGTGAACCAATAGCTTTTCAGATAACATAACCCCAGACCCATCTATAGAAACAAAATGGCTATTTCATTGAATCACACATACATAGTAAGTAACTTAACTTCTAGTGTTAGAAGTTTGTGATCATGTTTTGATAAAAAAGGAACAAATAAGTGTTTATTTAAAAGTAAGTGAAATGAGAGTGAAATTGATTGTCAGAATCAAAGAAATCAGGTTTCTCTTTGAGCACACATTCCAAACTGGTATCAGTTTCCCTTTTGTGTTTAATTTTGAATAAATAAAAAAGAATAAGACACATAAGAACTCAGTTACATAAGATATAACACATGGGAAACATTTCAGATTTCATGCAGACACACTAGGAGTTTCCATTGCCACACAGGAGAATTTTAAACATGAATGTTATAAATAGGTACACACAACATGAAGACACAAAATCACCTGTAAAGCAAAGCTCAGTATATATTTGAATTTCAGATAATAGTCATTGGTAATTCAATCTTTTTATTTCTTTACAGTCAAACAAATGTTTGTGTGTCTTGGAAAGTTGCTTAAAAGGTATAAAGCTTGGACACAAGACACAAAAGGCCACTTTTTTTAGAAAAATACCCATGGAGACACACAAGGGTGTTTCATAGGCAAAAGGAGAGCTTAGATACACATATGGCTAAATAGACACATAAAAATAAAGACACAGAAGTACAGTAAACACATAAGGTATCATCCTTGAGAAACATGTCCATGCAGACAATGAGATTTCATAGACACACAGGGAAATTTTGAAACACTAGTGTAATCGACACACGAAAATAAGACACAGAAGTACAGGGACACAAAAGGTATCATCTGTTAGTACGTCCGTACGTACATCTGTCCGTACGATCATTCGTACGGGCAATAACTCAAATACCGTTGGCCCGATTTTGTTCATATTTTGTACACATATACCCAATGGGGGTAGAAGTTCTGTTCGAAAACCGATTTTCAAAATGGCAGCTCATTTAAAAATGGCGGCTATTTTAGTGCCGATTTTACAGTAATTTAGGTACTGCATATAAAACTGTAATAGCAATATGTTTTAAATGTAAAAATGTTATATGGGAAATTGATTAAGCAAGAAATGTAAATACAGAAGAAATACATGGCAGCCATCTTGAAAAATGGCTGCCTTTGCATGTCGTATTGATGTTGAACAAAAACAACTTGAAACTGGAATCCTATCCACAGAGGTTTTAAGCAAATGAAGAGGATTTCGCGAGACAGATGTACAAATCAATGTTAACTAAAATGGCTGAAAATAAAAAACATATATATATTTTGCCTATTTTTTGTATCAAAATTATTTCATACAACTACTCTTTACATTGATATGGATTTTTACAATGTAGGAGACTTGAAATTATTTGTAAAGCTAGGAAATGGGTCAACAGTGAATTTCCTGAGACAAAAATGGTGGCCATTTTGAAAATAGACAAGCTTTTGAACCAGGAGTCATAGGGGAGTTTTCTGTATTGATGTTGAACAGAAATAACTTAAAACAGGAATCTTATCGACAGAGGATTTAAGGCAAATGGTCCAAAAGTGGATTTTGCGAGACAGATGGACAAATCAATGTTAACTAAAATGGCTGAAAAAAAAATTGATATAATTTTTGCTGATTTTTCGTAACAAAATTATTTCATACATCTACTCTTTACATTGATATGGATTTTTACAATGTAGGACACTTGAAATTATTTGTAAAGCTAGGAAATGGGTCAAAAGTGAATTTCGTGAGACAAAAATGGTGGCCATTTTGAAAATAGGCAAGCTTTTGAACCAGGAGTCATAGGGGAGTTTTCTGTATTGATGTTGAACAGAAATAACTTAAAACAGGAATCTTATCGACAGAGGATTTAAGGCAAATGGTCCAAAAGTGGATTTTGCGAGACAGATGGACAAATCAATGTTAACTAAAATGGCTGAAAAAAAAAATTGATATAATTTTTGCTGATTTTTCGTAACAAAATTATTTCATACATCTACTCTTTACATTGATATGGATTTTTACAATGTAGGACACTTGAAATTATTTGTAAAGCTAGGAAATGGGTCAAAAGTGAATTTCGTGAGACAAAAATGGTGGCCATTTTGAAAATAGACAAGCTTTTGAACCAGGAGTCATAGGGGAGTTTTCTGTATTGATGTTGAACAGAAATAACTTAAAACAGGAATCCTATCGACAGAGGTTTTAAAACGTGCCACTGTTGTTGACGGAAAAGTGGATTTTGCGAGTCAGATGGACAAATCAATGTTAAATAAAATGGCTGAAAATAAAAAAATTGATATAATTTTTCGCTGATCATTTGTTACAAAATTATTTCATATATCTATTGACATGAATTTCTACAATGTAGGACACCGGAAATTATTTGTAAAGCCAGGAAATGGGTCAAAAGTGAATTTCGCGAGACAAAAATGGCGGCCATTTTGAAAATAGGTGAGCTTTTGAACCAGGAGTCATAGGGGAGTTTTCTGTATTGATGTTGAACAGTAATAACTTAAAACAGGAATCCTATCGACAGAGGTTTTAAAACATGCCACTATTGTTGACGGACGGACGCACCGATGGACGGACGCATCGACGGACGGACGGACAAGTGAGTGATTGCAAAAGCTCACCCTGTGAGCTAATAAAAAACCGGTGGAAAACTAGGCAACTAACAGTAATAGCGACATGTATAAGAAAACATTAAAAAATGTTAGACGTTAATTGAGAAATTCACATGGGAAAAGCTACAAACCGAATAGATATATTTCGACTCTCAAAAGAAGGATGGTATATCAGGGTTTAATATTATGTGTGATTGAGTTGGTTTTCAGACATTAAAATTTTCGAAAATCCGGAGTCATTCCCTCCTTTGATGTATAAGTCCCATTTTATGTTCTGTATATGCACAAGGGTCATGAGTCCTTTTTAGCTAATTTTTTCACATTCTTGATATCTCAACAAATAACCTACTGAGTGATTGCAGGAATAATAGACAGTGATAGAAAATAATCATAATACACAACAAGCTTTATGTTAACAAAAACGTTTATTCAGTTTCAAATAAGTAATAATGAAATCAGCAGTCAGCAAAAATTAACAAATTCTAATTGCATAGAAATAAAACTGCCAAAGCAAAGTCTATTTTATGAGTTCACATTTGATTTAAAACCAAGATTCATCAAATTGTTAATCAACCAAACATGAAATCATAACTTGGACAACACAATTGCTAAGTCTCACCTTACTTACAAAATATGTATTCATCAAGGATATTGTATGGAATATTTCAGATATAACAAAGCATTAACATGCGAAATGTCACCACTTTCCATTTGTTACAGACTAAGAATGCCAGACACAAAATGCCAAACACTGTCACAAAAAGTTACAATATGTCACCATTTCTGGTGGTGACATAATAAATGTGGATGATAAACTTTAAAAGGCCACTTTGCAGGCCATACAGATCTTTTACCAATTCAGATCTATTTGTTTAGTAAGATAATCATAATACGTTACAGTACATCCTACAATATTAAACACATGCATATAAATGTACATAAAGAGCCAATATCCTTGATTTTGCACTTTACATTGTTCAAATGTTTGTTAACATTTTTGATTATAAATTTTGATTAGAAAATTATGTAAATAAGTTTATATGCTTTAAATTGTACATTGCAAATTTTAATGAGATTCGAGTACTCACACAATGAGCATTGTTTGAGTAATTTCACAACATATATTTGATACAACAGTTTGGTTACACTTCACATACTCACATATAAGAATAGCTCGAGCTAAAAGTCAAAGAACAGAAATTCTAATGACAGTGAATGATGCAATGTTCTCTGTAATATGAATACCAAATGAATGAAGAATTTTTCTTAATGTAGCATATGGACACTTCTTCATTCATTCTGCATCATTCTTTGAGTACAGCATGGAAAATTACATATAAATAGTATTACCACATTGCTTCTATGCTATTCAATAAATCAAACGCTGAAGATTTTTTTTGTAAAAATATATATCAAAATTTTTCTAGACATCAATTCTCTGGATTTCTCTACCTATGATCACCGGTTCCTATCAGGTTGAGAGAATGGGCCATTTTTGTTACAACAGACAGGAAGTTCCGCTATGATGTTACAGAGAGGGCATATTCTTGCTATAACTTGATGGGGATCAGTGATGATAAAATATGAACATTCATTCAGCAAACAAAGCTTTCATGTATTGAAAAATTTTGCATAACAGATCTATTTCACATGCAGTGGGTTCATATTGCGCACATGAAAAAAACTCATTTAAACTAGCGTAATTTTGTTTATACTTTAATGCCACCTTTTGTTGGTTTATCCACTGACTTTCGATTCGTGAATCAGTGCAAAATATTGGAATGCTTTTTCTACTGGAATTCTAAGTATAAACAAAATGAAATGTTAGTAATCTACTCTACAGTTTTTCTCTGATCACTCGAAATTAAATCTTAAATCCACAAATATGGTTTTGGAATATATAAAATTGAAAATGTATGGTTAGGTTGGTCCCTGGATGGTACAAAAAATAGAAAAACATTTTCTATTTTTTACTAAAATTTTCATGAAGAGTGATAGAGAAAATTGTCATTTTGGTGTTAGTAATAATATATCAGCCAGTCATCTTGAATCAAAATGCCATACATGTAGTTATCCTTCTAACATGAAAAAATCTATTTTTAATCTGAGTTCAACTTTATAATTTTGAATTATTCAAGAGGGCTGGCTATTTAAAACACTAGTTTAAATGAGTTGACTCCATGTACAATGAACTTGTCATTTCTTACTTGGTATCATTCTTAAAAAAAATATACAACTTTCTAGATTATGTTACAATAGTTTATGCATCTACAACCAGATGTGGTTTTCTAAGTCAGTTATTAGCATCTTTAATATAAAAATCAACAATCATAACAGTCAAATAGACACTGTTCTCTCATTCTTATCACATTTCACCTTAAGATTTAACAATTGCTACACCAGAACAGTTTATTTAATTTCACATAGTCAGTAGGCTATTCATTGGCAATTTAACCTCTTGGATACCAAAGAAGTTTCATTTTTTGCTAGTATTTAAATACAGTAAGTGATGGGTAAAAGTTGGTAAGGTAGGAAACATAAATTGTGGAAATACTGCCAAAGTTTGTCAACTTTAGTTATTATGATTCTAAGTCAAAATTAGTTGCTTTGGGTATTCAAGAAATTAAGTTAAGCTGCCTACAATTACATGTTGTATAATTTAAAGCACATAGGTGCAGGTTTCTTAAGTAAATCAATTTTACTGAAACTAATTGTCCTGTCCTAAGTTTTAAGGGTACTAAGTGACTGGACAACACATCACTTGACATCAATAAAATCTGCAGACACTGTTCAAGCGTGTATTGTGCACCTTTGATTCCATCGAACTTAAGTGAGTTACATGGACATGGAAAATCTTAACAAACGAAGTATTATAACATTTCCATGTATGCAGCCTAATTCAGCCCTCTGACTATTTGTTGAGAAACTCTGTGAAGTGTTTAACCTCTTGAATACCAGCCTCTAAAAAGGGTTTGAAACCAGAGCATTTTTCATTTTTTTGATATTTACATCTAAAAACGCAATACCGTAGTTGATGTTTGATTTCATAAGAATAGTAAACATAGACCCATTACATTCATTTTAAAACATAATTTGTGAAGATTGGATAAAAATTGCCAAAATTAGAGCAGTTTTTGTGAAAAATTCTGTGACAGATATAATAGCTGTCGCTCTGGGTCCCAAATGAATTTTATTTGTGGGTATTCAAGAGGTTAAGTAAATGAAAGCAGGTTCTGCCCAACTTAAAGCATATTAGAATTCCTCTAAAAATCTTAAAGAAAAGTACTATAAAATAAATTTGAGATGAGATTCTAATCAAATAAGTATTGAATCTTAATCTCTTAGATCGATGTCACTACGATGTACTTGTACAATCCCTCTCTCCTCTCCCCTCATTTGATATGGTAAATATGGATCCAATGATTCCTTGACAATGTTTGTCAAGGGAGACCAGAAAAGCTTTTTAAGTCTTTTTTCAATAAACAATGAACAGCTTCATGTGAGAACTGTATGAAATATCCAAGAAAAATGAACAAGACAGCAGAGTCAGGCCACTACAGGTCAATTGTCTGATTAACAGAATGACCAGGCTTCATGGACATGTAATTTGTGAAGGTGAAAACAAATTAAAATGTTGGGATTTTACAATCTTTCATAGGATATCATGTCGATGGAGAGAGGGGATTGGAGGCTTTGGCAAATTAAGTTTACGAGTATATTATAGGTTGATGTACAGCTAAATTCTGAGTACATGCAAATGAGTAAATATAGATTTAAATATACAGAATTAGAATGTGAGTAGTGATTAACAGATGGTGTTACATATCAGTTTGAATACAGGGCAAGATCAATTTTTTACAATAAATAATAATGGGACTTGCATCCATATGTACAGAGTACATATATGTACACAAATTCTTATTACACAGTATTGGAATCTTAACATGGATGTATTATTCAGCATGTGGCATAACTGTTGGATCAGAGACATGGAGGCACTTAGTTTTAATCAGGGGAACTGATTCTCTTAGCTTGTATAGGAAATACTGTATTTCAAGTCTAACCAGTAAATCCTAAATGCCTTACCACCTCTTTGACCCAAATACATTTTTTTCTTTTTGAAATCATAATTTTGGACACGCATGTGCTACAACTTTACAAGTTTACTTATGGTTATGAGTGTCAAGGATTATAACATATGCTACAATATCCAATAGAAATTGACTAACATAGCAAGACCAGAAGCTTTCTTCTAGATTTTCACAGAGATATCTCACTCTCACAATAGACCAATTCACAATTGTTCGTGTCATATCTCATAATATCATATTTTTGCTGTATATCCATTTTCCAAAGAATCTGCTTATACGTGCAATTACACTAATTTCTTGTATTGTGTGAGATAAACATACATTTGAAACATGTACTTTCTGAGGGGGTCTCTCAGGATCAATGAATTCTTAAAACCTAATTTTTGACCCCTTATGCCTCATTTCAATAGACCCCCCCTCCCCCTTCTGATCCACTGTGCAAGTATGAAAACTGCAAGACAATTGTGTAGTTGTTTGCAGCATGATACATAGTTACATTGGAGTTTGGGCCTACATGTTAGCAGATCAGATCAGACCTCTACTAAAGAAGCCATGCCCTTTGATATCATGCAGTAATGTGTGACTGGAAGGTTGTTGAGCAGTGTGGTGCAGACTTGTATATACCATATACATAAGGGCTCAAGCATCACACATATCCCTCTGGCATAGCATCCCTGTAACACATATATGAACAAAATAATCTCATCGCAATATTTATTCATGAAGTTCCTTACATGATTCTTATCACAAAGCACTACTGACAGTATTTTCTTTTACAGCAATGTAATGGTATTTTTAAGATGTAAAAATCCAAATTCTTTTGGTTCATAAAATCTACATTTATGTGAAATGATTCATAAATATATCATGGAACTTTCTAAAAGAGGTCACTGTATAAAGCAAAAACAAGTAAAGAACTGAGAATTATCATACCCTAATGAATCCAGCATGGGGTTGGGCTTGTATTTACGTCTAGGATGTGAGTGTGTATGAGGTATGCGCTCAGACTTTTCCTTGGTGCTAGAGTTCTCACGAGGGCTGCTATATTTAGGGTGATGCAAGCGTGGGATGGAGTTTTCTGAATCAGTCGATGACACGCGACGTAGATCCTTCGAGAAGCTGGGTTTCTTTGGCAGCTGGAAATAAATCAAAAAAAAAAATTCTACAATGAGCTAAAATGTGTGCTTGTATTTGGGATTATAAACAAATAAAATATGCGCCATTTAACTAACCTCTATTTTGTCACCAAGAAGTGACTAGCATTTCGGAAATAAAAAATCACATACAAGGCAATGATCCCAAATACACATATACATGTATGTATATGTTGTCTGTTCAAAACCTTTGTTAACTATGCTTTACACAAGTTATTGTCTTGGACCATATCCTGTACCAAGGTGGTTGCGAAACCCTGCTCAATAAGCGCAAATATTAAACAATATAGTCCCAAGGGTGCTATAAAAAGGCCAAAAACTAACCAATGCAAATCTCAATTCTCTACACATCCACAATAAAAACTTAACCTTAGGTTGTAAACATATTTGCATAAATTGTGGGGGTCCTACTCTGAGGTATTACCCCCTACCCCTCCTACTATGCCAAACCTTTTATGTAGATATCAGAGGAATTTCTTCAGAATTCCTCTTATGTTGTGGTATTGTGTTAATTATAACACTTGACATTCACCCAATCAGGTAATAAGGTCATGCTACATACCTCACTCATTACAAACAACAAATAACCAAGCTCTTAAATATTAAGAATTTACAACGCCACTTGATTTATTGAAGAAATATTTATCTATTTAGAAAAACTATTTTAAGGTCATGAATTGCTTTGCACGCAAAGTGCATTATTTTATTTTATTTTTTATTCTATTTAAGGATGGATATTCTACTTAATTGACTGAACAATCTATTTAATTGAGAACAAGGCTATTTCATTCTGAAGGGGCCAAATCAAAATGTAATTTTGTGAGACTTAAGTTCCCATTTGGATTTAAGATACAGTGAAATATTATGCCAACCTTCTCATTTGAAGGAAAGTAATATCCAGTGAAATTAAATCCAAGTTGAATTTTGATAATGTTCATTCAGTGAAATTCCAATAATATAATAATAAAAATCGGTGCTACAATGGTACATATGAAAAGCATGTTGCTAAAGAAGCATGTGATGTGTGAATGTAGGGGTCACAGGTTCAAATCACACAAGGTTAATGACTGAGCATACCACCTCATCAAAGGATTTATTCAATGTTATAACTCCATTAACCTTTACCAATTTATTTTTACTGAAATCTACTATATTTTTCTAAGTCTAAGTTTAACAACTAAGCTAACGATGACTCATTCAACAGTGTATGGTTTGGACTAAATTATTTACAACTCCTGACCCTATCCAATTTATTTCTTCTGTCAACTGTATTTCATCTGAGGTGAATGACTGTGACTGGGGTCTTACCAAACAACAGTGACATAGTTTGATCTAAATTACAATGATAATGAATACAGTGATTTACAAGGGGAAAGAATAATTTCGATTTTAATTTTTTTACTCAAAAAGTGACAAGCCATGTTGAATGTTATAATTACTTATGTACTTTATGTTTACCCTCAAATAATCAATTATTAGGGGATTTTTTAGACTTTTAGAGTTCTGAGGGGCACCCGATTAGAAACTAAAATTTCCTACCTGTCTCCTGTGTTCAACGAGGCACACAACATCTTGTATTGGGACAAATACACCGTGATCTTGAGCACATTGGAAGTAGCGCTTTCCATTCAGAATACCATCATGGCGACCAACTGCAAATATTGAAACACAATTAGAAAGATACAAAAACATTTTCTGTTGAGATTATTAAAAAAATTCAGAACATTAGCAAATGGGCCAATAAATGTGTACTTTCAACTATAAAAATATTTTGGTATAATTTTGCTTTAAACTTTGAGCCGCTTCCAGGGATGCTTCATTCAACCTTGAAACTACTTTCCCTGGATTGATCACAGATAAAGCAATTACTACTCCCATAATAACAGTTAAACAACCACCTTGAGTTCATTCAGTGTTCATTCATTCAATGTCTACGTGAGATTTTGCACATACACATCGTATGGAGTGTCAATACACTCTGTCATCTTTTAATTGAATTTTCTGTTTATTCATATAAATATTTTAAATGAAACTAAATAGCCCGTTTTGCAACACAAGAAGCAAGTTAAGAACAGTGTAAGAATGGAAAGCATATGAAAAGTTAGAATAGATAAAGTACACCACCTGAAATTGGTGACCACAGTCAAAATGAGAAATCGCACATCATAGCTCACAAATGCATCTCAATAAGCAGACACATACAGAAAAACAAAACTTAGAAGGTAATCAGTAAATGTTGAATTCTGTAATAAATTTATATCATAAATTGAAATAAAAGATCTCACTTCTTCTGCACATATTTAGTTAACCCTGTCGTAAATGTGTTGCTTTCAAAAGGTTTAAACAATATATTATACGTAAAAACTCACAATGTGTGGGTAAATAATGAAATCGTAGCAAGCTATGATTTTATACAGTGGAGCCTCAGTGAATAGATATCAATTTTAAGTGACAAGGTCGATGCACCTAAATAAAAAACAAAGAAATCCTCAAGGTGTGCAACGGTAAATCAAAATATAAGAAAGTCTCCTATGAGACATAAGTTATAAACATTTTGTGAGGTGTCAAATATTTTTATGAACTTTAACTAGTGGTGGCTACAGACACAATAAGCATTGTCTCTGTAATATAACTTTTAAGCCTTCTCATTGTATGAATGATACATGTCATTCTCTTAATGCATGCTCCTTGTGCATCTCTTTTAAGGTTTTAATCATTAAATAAATACATGTAAATCTATTCCATACTAAGTAGTGTTATAGGTAAATAATATGCAGGAATATAATTGATATGTGACGTGAGCAGGTGATATATACAGTGTATATCACCCGCTCATCAGATCTACGACGTCACAAATTCAGGGAGTAGATCCTGAGCCAGGGGACTTGACTATAAACCCTCATAATATACTAAGTATAGAATAAATCAGTTATTAATGCTCGATTTTTGATACAGGGTATATCCCTTAGTACATAGTATGTATATATATATATATTAACTATAAGGGGACGTGCCGCTAAAGTGGGTCACTTTTTCACCGAAAAATCCCTAGATGTGGGTCCCATTTTGAAAAAAAACCTAGATATGGGTCCCATTTTGATGAAAACATCCCTAGAACTGGGTCTAGTTTTTGAAAAATCTTAAAACTGGGTACTGTTTTTGAAAAAAATCACCGGAAGTAGGTCTTGTTTTTTAAAAATTACCTTGAAGTGGGTCTATTTTTGAAAGAAAAACCTAGATTTGGGTCCATCTTTAGAGAAAAAATCCCTAGATGTGGGTAGATATTTTGAGTCTCAGCGGCAAAACTGTTTAAACTTGACCAGTACCTCCCCCCAGGATTTATGTAACACCAGCCCACCCATCAGCAAAAGACAACCGAAGACAACAACAATATAGCACATAGCAAAGTGCAATTAACAGAGTGACTTTTGCAGAGATTCATACTTCATACCTATTTTGAAATGGTCCTTTTCAGAAACCAAACCATGTACTGATTGCCAAGGCAGTATTAAAAGAAACTGAAAGTATTATAGACAATCTTGAACTCACATGAATTTGAAGGTCTATGAATTGCATCTTGGACCACATACCTTAAAGGTATTCACTCTCAAAAATACATCAGTCATAAAAATAGTTTTACTGGAAACCTAAATTTAAAAATTGAATAGAACACTATAATTATGTACTAATGTCTCATATTTCAATCAACTTATTTTTCAAGCATATTACATTAACAATATCTTTAAGTTTTGAAAAGCGAGATGTATGCCTAAACAAAACAACTCCTGAACTTGCCAAGAAATTTGAATGTTTTCCCCAAATATTACATCAAACTATCATTTCATATTACAGACATAATTAGAAAATCACATGTTGATGCCATGTTTCGACACTTTTGGCAAATTGAGCAATGATTATAGAATGAATGATGCTTCACAGGAAGTCAAGATTGGCGGGCTAAAACTTATAATCATTAAATGTATAACTGTAAGCAACTTTTTGAGAAGTTTCTTTCCTTTAATGACTCTATAATCATTCACCACTCGCAAATGCTAAGACAGTTTTTTTCGAATCAGACAACAAAATAAACTTCTGAATGTTGGTCGATAATTTATTTCACTTGACAAGATTTTCTGTATAAAATATATATGAGCCCAACGCAGCGGAAAAAATAGACTGCAATTTTTATTAGGTTTGTAAAACTACGTAGATAAAACTGTTTAACAGCATTTAGATAAAAACAGTTAAGCGGGAATCATTTAGGCAAATCAAAAAGATCCAAATAATTTGAAAATTCACTTGATACTTGAACCCATGGTGAGTGCTAACCATGTCTGGCAGTGACGCTTGGCAAGCACACAACTTATATGTTATATGTTGCTAGCTACATCAGAGTACATAAAATATGACCATATCAAAAACTGATGATCAATGATATGGTTGAAACTAACAAAGTTGATTATCAGATTGATCAGACATGATCACATATTTGCAAGGCAAAACAGGAAAGATGACACATTCCATCAAATCATTTTGAGCAATTTTATTAAACCGGTCTCTCTATAATGAACATGACTTACAAGTATAATAACATTTGCTCACTTCCTCTTTCACAAACAAGCCACGTTTTTCCTATTACCTATTCTAAATTGGTAAGTGCAGGAAAGGAACCAAGAATCTATTCTAATAATCATAAATAAAAAAATAATTTAAGGTTTATATGGAAAACTATATCCATGAAGAGGGTCGGATATATTAGGAAATAATATTCATTTCTTATTTACATATAAGGACGTGTCAATAAACAAGTTGCAAAAAATCGCCAATTCCATTTCTTGAAAAAAGTCATACCCAGAATTAAAATATCTTAATACCTTTAATTTCTAAACATCTGAGTCCTAATTTGAAATAATGATACAATTATTTTACGATTTTTTCTAGCAGATGAAACAAAATGTGGAGATATCAGGTTTCTTAATCCAAAGAAACATATTTATTTTTTCTGGTTTTCATTTTATTGAAGTGATGTTCTTATGTTTGTATTTTGTTTGTAAAGGAAATGTTTCATTCAAATATGTTCAATAAACCACACAACGTGCAGCTAAGATTGAACTAGCTTACAAAAAACATTTATTGTAAATGTTGGTATGCTGTTTTGCTAAAATATTTCCTTTTCACATAATGCATGAAAGGATCAACTGGCAATGTTTTGTTTATGTATTACAACTTTCGTAGTAAGTTGAATCTTATTTCAATGGATTTACATTATGATATAAATGTAATATTTAATAAACATGTACTTCGAGTTACTTTGAGAACACCTCATGAACAATTCAGGGTTGTTAAAACAGAAAAATTTCATATCATTTCCTTGACTTTTCCTTTATAAACCTCAATTTCCCTGACTATGTTGTATGGAGTAATAACATTTTTGGAAAACACAAAGTCAAATCATGAAAATCTGTATAACAGGGAGTTTCAATTCAATCAGTACTCAACATACACCCTTCATATAGCAATATGTGAGATGTGAATTGGGGACATAATAATTATCACAAAACACAAACTGTTTTTGGATTATATGCAGTTCAAACTCTTATTGTATAACTTGTTTAAAGTACTTTCTGACTTGGACAAGTGACCTTACCTCAGATTTACATTTTACTGCATACTTTAAGTACAAGGTTGATGTCCCTGTTCAATATACCATGCAGTTTATATTTGAAAAATAAGCCATCGATAGACTTTGTGAAACACTTAAATTCATACCTAAAAAGTTGAGTTAAGCAATCAAATGACAGGACAATACATGTGCAAAACATTTCTGGGTTAAAATGCACAATCAGTAACCAATTTTAATTAAAGAAGAGAAGAGAGAGAAGATGCACTATTCACCCAAGTTTTTCCATGCTTAATATATTACCTGGTGCATCCAGCTCTAATCCAATGAAAATGCTGTTATTGACTGACTTCCCAACATTTTCAAGATGGCCGATATATCTCACTTTGCCAGTTCTGTCGCCCCTAACAACCACATGGTCGTTCAACTGCATCATTTGTTTTCCACTGAAATTTAAAGATACATTTACACTCTGTGTCAAAGATTTTATTATTATAAAACTTCACCTTTCAAAAATTGTATTAAAGCATTAATTGTTACCTCAACATGTTGAAGTAAATTAAAATGTTATGTTTAATATGGTTACTAGAATTATAGAACTAGCCAAAACCAAATACATGTACATTTAAAGAACAAACGCAAATACAATGTTCAATGCAACAAGAAATCCATATAAGGAGCTGTCTTAGCCAGCTCCGATTCAATAATTTAGAATTTCAAATTAATTTTATGATTTTGCCCTTCTTAGTATAGCCTAGACAAAAGAAAAATTCTCTTGTCACAACTTCCATTTCTGTTACTTTCTTCACTTAAATGTGTCAATAACATCCATTTTCTCTCTTTATATGACTCCCTATTCAGATTAGCTATTTGATTTAGGTTTTCCATAAATGTTAATTTTCCAAAATAAATATATAATATCCTATTGCATGGACATCCATTGGTGAAAACGTTATACAACTTACTTTATTAAATACTTTTTCACTTCATTCTGGTATCCGTTTTTTAATTTATTTGCAAAGTGGTTAGAGGGTGGTTTTGGCAACACACGTGGAGTCATTTTTCTAGCAGTTCGGAATTTACCGTGGCTATATAGAAAAGAAAGAAAAGTGTTACTGGTTAGTTGTTAGTAAGTTAATTGTTTAGATTTTTCTGGAAACAAAAGATGACAGTAATTGAGACTTCTGTGTAACTTCTAGATAAAATGTTGAGATTAAGAGAAGTGCAAAGAGCGATGGTGCAGAAACATCAATATTTCATTGGTATATAGAATCACAAACTTGTAAATCAATGATGTTGCATAATGCAAGGAGAAGCAGTCTTCTGTTTGTACTATCAACCAATTTGAAAAATATTGTTGTACCTAGAGCTCAAGTCCTAATGCAATGATATCTTACCCCTTCTTTAGTATAATACATTTCTAAGTAATGAAAAGACAATAAAAAATTAAAGTTCACTTCCAAAAACAGTGCCTACAGAAGCATGGTTTTGGATCATCCATTTGCATCCCCCACCAACATACATACCTACACATCAGGTAGGGAAATATATATGGGAGGGGACAAGGAACTTGACGCAATACTATAGAAGCATAAGGCAAAATCTAGATGTATGTTGAACTACCTTTCTCCATTGAGCACTCGTGGTGTGTGACGTTGTAAGGTGGGCAAGATCGTGGCAGAGTCATCACTTTCTATATCAGTGTGACCATTCACTAGAATACACTCATTCTCAACACTGTAGTATTGATGAGTGCTGTGGCGTGCTAAACTATGCATCTGAAATATACATATATGGACATTTTAAGATCAAATATGAAGTGTCAAATTAATATTTTTCTCTAGTCTCACCCTCTAAAACTACATTCATTGGCCAGTGCCTGGCCGATTGATTATTTTGTTCAAAACTGAATATACTCATGTTTATAACACAAACCAGTCGAGATTGTGTTAATGCTTTCCCCCTCCCCCCCCCTCCCCCTCCCCCCATTAGACTCTTATCACAAATCAAAGAAAGTACATGTACACTTACCTCAACTTCTTTTAGTTTACATTTTAGTGCGGCTATCTCCTTCCTGGCTGCAGTAAGCTCCTCAGCTAGACTGCCATTCAGCTTGACACCTGTAACACAATAACAGAGATAGCTCAGTAACATTCTAGAAATACCTAGTGACTATGTTGCTAAAGCATCAATGTAGATCAGCTTTAATCTTAGGCAGAATAATCAACTTCATGTAAACAATTTCCTTAAACATCACTGAAAGCATTTGAACTTGCTAAGTCAATCTGATTGGATATACAGTGCGTCCCATAAAAAACGCAACAAAAAAGACACTGTAAAATCACAAAACCAATGATGATAACATCAATTTGATTTAGTTTACCAGGAAGCCATATGTCTCCTCTTTCCAATGGTATGTCAATTATTCATATAAGACCATAGACCACTGAATAATCATTCCTTTTGTACAACGTGCCAAAATCTGCTCTGGGCCAAGTTTTAGACATTGCAACAGTTAACAAAGAGTCACCAATGAGGTTGCTGCTCTCTGCCAGAACCCCAGATGATTCAAAAAGGTGTGCGACATGAACACACAGGCCAGTCTCAGTGTGTAGAGAAATAGTGGTCATGTGAAAGGGCATGGAATGTAATCTTTCATGAGTAATCTTTCATAAGATGACAGGCAACGACTGTTTATGCCACTTTTTCCATATGTTCGTTAAACTGAACCAACAAGGATACTGATGAACACTTAAAGTTAATTTTTCTTTTCATTTTTTCTTTTTCCTCAGTAAATCTAAATCAGAAACTTGTGTTAGGTACATCTTGTGACAAAAATTTAATCCCCAGTACCAATTACATAATGATTTACCTGATTGCACAATAAGGATCTGTTGATAGATATTTCATAACTTGGCACAAAGGCCTTTTCACCCATGTACGAAAAAACAATGATTTTTCAGTGGTCCATGATTGGATATGAACAAATGACATATCATCGGAAAGGGGAGACACATGGCTTCATGATAAACAAAATGAAATTGATGTACTCATCACTAGTTTTGTGATTTTACAATGTTTTTCTTTGTTGCGTTTTTTTGGGGACGTACTGTATAGTAAACTGAAAATTTGTCTTATTCAGAGCATAGTATCTCATTCAATGAGCTCAGGGTTATAAGCATTGTATGAACATGGAGCTAGGAACAATTGGTCATTAACAATTTGAAACATGGAAATACATGTAAGTGAAAATCTACAGACACAAAACTTGGTGATAAACAATCTAGAAGCACAAGTCGAAGTCAGTCATAATTTCAGATGCATCTACACTCGAAAGAACATCATTAGCATGAGAAAAAAGATATTTTTGGACATTGGATAAGTCATCGAAGAAGACTGGTGAAATATAATGACAGTCCCATTCAAGATACTTTTACACCTGGAATTCTGGAAACTTTATCAATTGCATCCCATTGGTCTGAAACCTATTAGTTTGATTTTTATTGGGGTTTCATTTATCCCCCATCCATTTGTTCAAAACCCTATGGTCCAAAATAGCACATATTTTGTTACTACATTTTATTTCAACTACTAATTTTTAGAAAAGCACTCAAATTACTTCCCTAAATCACAAAATAACTGGATGTGAACATATATGTGTACCCCTAAGTAATTTACCATTTTTCAATTATTTCATTATCTTTAATAAAGCTACTAGATACTCATAACTTAAGGGCATGTGCTACATAAATTAATTTCTGTAACCAGGGTTAGTCAGTCATCAAGACATATTTACAGCTGGAAGGATGAACGGACAGAAACCTGACAGATGGGTCCTCTATATCCCTAATCAAATGAGGTAAGGTAGGATAAATATGTTCCAATTAAGTACATTATAGGAGATGCAGTGATTTGTTCAACCCTAGGTCTCATGTTCAGCTGCATTGAAAACCCACTAAAATGAATAATCATATTAATAATCATACTAAGTGCAGATAGCAATTAAAACTCTATATGCAATCTACTATACTACATTGTTAGATTGCCCAAAGCATCAAAAACGAGTCCTGATCTACATTTTTAATAGACTAGATAATGTACATGTACTTCAATGATATCATATCAAATACAGGTACAAATAAAAATAAATGATTAACAAATACGAGTGATGTGGAAGCAATGTTAACATTGCAAATCAGAATGGTAAAGCTCAGGATGAAACTATACACATTGAGGAAGATCTCATTTATCTTATTAACATCATTTTCAATTTCCTTGCTCTTAATAGTAAAGTACATCAACGTGATACATACTAAAGAAACAGTGAAGTTCAAAGATATACAAGTAACCATGCCAATTAAAGACAAAAATCATGAGCTTTCAAGGATACAATCTGGTGTATATGAAAACAATATAAATGAATCACCAAATCTGATTGAACAAGATGGAATAGCAGATGATATTCTTCAGTATGAGGATTCCCTTGATGATATGAATACAGCTGAGGGACACATAACTAAGAAACAGTCAGAGAAACTGATTCTACTCTATAATTCATTCTGGGATGAGAAGGGATGGGAGGTTGGACTCGGGAAGGAACCATTTAAGAGATTGTCATGCCCAGTAAGGAATTGTAAGATAACAGATGACAAAATGTTGTTAAGTCAAAGTGATGCAGTTGTGTTTCATATACAACAGCTAGGGAAGTTACCACCAGTAAAGAACAATCATCAAAAATGGGTTTTCTTTATGTTGGAATGCCCTGAATGGTCAAAGAATTACAAGTAAGTGTTAAAAATATATATAACTGTTGTCAGACAACCAATTTTTTTTAAAGTCAACACGCTTTTTTTTGACTCATAGGCATCCACCATTTTCGTGAAGCTTAGGTCCTTGAATATCTATTAGGCTGTTATGTCAGAATGGTGGCCAAAAAGTGCCAGGAGAGTACTTTTGAGAGTTCTTTTGAGGGTTATAACATAAAGAAGACTCTGGCACCATTGGCAAGCTCGAGATTCACTTGTTGGCATTTATGTTAATTTATGTTCCATAGAAACCACAAAATAATGATTTAATAAGCAAAATATGTTTAAACCCCTATGGTGTTGCCACAGTGATATGCAAAGCTTGCCAAAATTATATATAATATGATCAAGTATTCTATCAGACTATATATTATCTAAACTAGTCTCGTAATATCAAAATCTTGTATTTTTCAGCTACAAATCTGAACTTTGGAATAGAAAATTTGACTGGACCATGACATATAGAACAGACTCTGACATACGCCTCCATTATGGACAGGTTGATATGGTAACCAGTCCTGTCCAGCAAGAAGTAAAAAACTATACATCCATAATTGAATCTAAGATGGGTGATGTTGCTTGGATTGTAAGCAACTGTGACACAGCAAGTAGAAGAGACCAGTATGTCAAAGAATTGCAGAGATATATAAGTGTCGATGTATACGGCAAATGTGGTAACCTCACATGTCGGAAAGATTGGCGAGGATCAGATAAGGCCTGTTTGGAAATGATCAACAAAAAATACAAATTTTATATCGCTTTTGAAAATAGTTTCTGCACTGATTACGTCACAGAAAAATTCTTTAAAATACTACCCCTTGATGTTGTTCCAGTTGTAAGAGGAGGTGCGGATTATTCAAGATTTGCCCCGGAGGGATCTTACATTGAAACATCAAAATTTGAATCCCCAAAAGATCTTGCATCACATCTTAAGTATTTAATAAAGAACCCTGATGAGTATATCAAATATCTAAGAATTAAAGAGAGATTCAAAGCAACTGCTTATTTCGGACCAGGAAAGCTCCCGTCCTGGTGTGACTTATGCCAAAAACTACACGAAGACACTACGACTGGGAAATCTTATAAACACATTGAAGATTGGTGGAGTAGGAACCACTGCCACAAACCAAATGATTTAGATTTTCTTGTGAAGTAAATATGGCAATTTGTGATCCATTACCTGCTCTATACCTTGGAGTACAGGCTCAAGCATAAAAGAGGGACACTTCTAAATTGGAATGTATTATATGCGTGTACACATTTTACATATTGCTACATGCACAAATAAAATATATTAAGTTAGATCCCAACATAAGAATTTTATGTAACTTAATGATGAAAATCATCAATATTCAATGCATGAAGTAGGTTATGTTTTTCATATTTTAGGTGGATATTTACATATAATGATATGACTTTCCATAATCTCTTGTTTCAACTTATTTGTGAAAGTGCTGAACGATCTTGCAGTTTCAATATCTTCATTAAGAGCATGAAAATAATTAAGATTGATTGTTTTCAGTGGTTTAGTTCTTATTTCTGATCCTTAGATATACAACTATTAAAGAAAGTATAACTTGCATCATCAATAGACTTGGTTACAAATGCCTTTTAACAAGGCATCAACATGACAAATGTCACCACCTAGTTGCTCACAATATTATGAGTTCAATATAAAGTCAGATTTGAATTTCTGAGAACTTGTAGATGATTTTGAAAAAATAAATTGGTCAATTTGAAGCAAGTTGAAGAAATAACTTTTTTGACCCTGAGCATTGAAGGTGAAATCTCAAATCTAAAGTCAGATTTGAACTTATGAGAACATGTAGATGATTTTGAAAAAAAATTGGTCAATTTGAAAAAGATGAAAAAAGACCTTTTTGACCTTGAGAATGTCATTGAAGGTCAAATCTTTTTTGACCTTGAGAATGTCATTGAAGGTCAAATCTATAGTCAGATTTGGACTGTTGAGAACTTGTAGATAATTTTGGAAAAAAATGGTCAATTTGAAGCAAGTTGAAAAAGACCTTTTTGACCTTTTTTAACCTTTTTTTACCTTGAGAAGGTCATTGTAGGTCAAATCTAAAGTCAGATTTGAACTTCTGATAACTTGTAGATGATTTTGAAAAAAAATTGGTCAATTTGAAGCAAGTTGAAAAAATACCTTTTTGACCTTGAAAAGGTCATTGAAGGTCAACTCTTAAATATAAAGTCAGATTTGAACTTCTGAAAACATGTAGATGCTTTTGAAAAAAATTGAAGTCAGTCTAAACAGTATTTGTTAAGTTATTGGAAGTTGTAAGAATTTGTAACAGATACCGATTGCCAACCGCCAACCACCAACTGCCGTTAAAAAAAACGGAGACCATAACAATATGTCACCACTTTTGGTGGTGCCATAAAAATGATAAGAAGCACATACATCCTTTATAATTTGCACTTGTAATGTGAGCAAATTTATGGTAAAAAAACAAAAGTTGTGGTATTTTAGCCATTTTATCAATCAAAAATTGTCCGCCAGGATATAAAACGTATATTTCCTTCAAGAGTACAAAATTATAGGAAATACAAGTAACTTACTTTCACGTAATTGTTCTTCTAGTCTTGGATCTGTTGGCTTGAGTATGTCACACTGGGACTCCTTGGCAAATCTAGGGACCATTGGGCTACAACAGACAAGTGCATTTGTAACAACATTTATGTCATGTAAAGTAAAACATTAGTCATGCATCAAGTCTCTGTACCCCACACCCATCTACCTCACCTCCAGAAGTGAGGTATGTAGGGGCAAGGTTATAAGGGCTCGAAGCAAGAACATGAAGTCACTGGGTAATAGGACTGTTCTCAAAACTTCCCCTTTTTGGCAGGATACAAGCACAGTTTCAAGGGCCAAACTGCCCTAATTCACGTCACCATACTAGTCAATGGGCAAAAGGGCAAACGCCTGACTTTTTATCTCGAGTGATGGATTTATGTGGCCTCACTGGCCTATCTGAGGTTCTAAACCTATGTCTAAGCTACATTTTGACACTAAACTCAATAGGGGCCAAACATCTACTTTTTGAAATAATTGGTCTATTGTGACACTACCCCCTCTCTCTGCCGACAGTAATTGAAATTCATAAAAATGAAGGCAAAATTAATACGCCACTTGATTCGAAAATTTCCTTCAGATAACCCAAATAAACGCATTTTAAGAAGAAATGGCATGTTGTCATTGCAAAAAGATGACAACTGTGCCTACATACTAGCTTACTGACTCGTCATGATCACAATTGTGTTGGGACTACATTCATTTTTGAAAACTACTTTTTTCTATTCAGCAGAAGTGACGTATTAGGGCATTTGGGCCAAGGTGGCAAGTGATTTTCCAATTTACAACATGGTGTAGCACTTAGTTGCTCTTGGTGTTCAACTTTATAAACAACAAAATTAAAGTACAACTAGAGATAACAGTGTCCTTCACTAGTTCGTGCAAACCTTGGCATAGAAATCGACAATAGATCACTACCTCTTCACTTAACTTCAAATGAGTTATGTAGCCAGCCATATTAAATATGATATTCTTAGGAAAATATACACCAATGAGGGACCTTATCAAAACAATTCTATTCTAAATGTATATGATGCAACATATACATATGTATAATGCATGTTTAAACTAAGGTTCAAACCATCCATGGTATCTATATTTTTCCAGATCACTGCAGTTTTTCAGTCAATTTATTTCGCCTTATTTATAGCTTTTATGTGTGTTATGGCTGCAGGAACACAATCGACATTGATTATTGATACCATCTATTTCCCGAGTTACTTTTCAGGGGGTCACTAGAATTTCTCACAACAGGCTTAATAAATGAAAAAAACAACAGGCAAAAAATGGAAATCATAAATTTAACATGAAAAAGTTGAAAAGTCCCTAAAAACAATAGGCGATTTTGTGAAAACAACCGGTGAAAATCGCCTGTTGCCTGCTGCTAATGAAACCCCTGCTTTTATTAGTTTTTCTAAATTTTGCTAAATTATATAAATGATTATGGCTACGAAATGGGCTGGCAAGGAATATTCCTTTAAGTGATTAAATTTAACATTTTTTTGTTACTATTGCGACAACCCCCTAAAAATAACACTTCTAAATGCAGGTGAGTTTTCGGGTAGAGGGTTAAATCGAGGTTAACTTTAGAAAATCATCCTGTTATTCACCACATGTTTCTTAAAACAGAGTGGTACTAATATGAAATATTTAACACACCGATATCTTGATTGTGGAGTTTTACGTTTTAAAGAACATGTTGAAAATTTATTTGAAAATAAATCATGATTATGTCTCACAAGGAGCATGTTATTTGATTTAAAGTACACAGGGTTACAATCCTCCAGGGATGAAGTCCTTTAATTTATGCAACAATACACCTGTGTATATGGTACTGGAGGGTCTAGGGCCAATGTGGGCTGTTACACCGAAACCTGAGCTAAATGCTAAGGGGGTGTTCACTGTTCAACAAATGATACAGCTATCAAATATGGATAATTATAACATAGTTGAACTTGCCTTAAATATTTTCACTGACTTCAATATACTTGATGGTTTAAAGTTCTTTAAAGATAACATCAGAATAAGAAGGAAAAGAATGATACTGGTATGACTCAACAGTTTTTGTTTCATTTTCACAGGCTTTTTTCTAAACTGCACATCTAACAAACGTCACTCTAATTAATTGATGATATAAATCAGGAAAGATTGGATCATTTTGGAAAATCCTAAATCTGTTGCTATACTTTCCCTCCTCCTTTTTTAGACATTTCTTAGTTAGAATAAGAGATATGAAATGTTTGAATCTGGTAGAGAGAAAAATCCTGGAGTATGGTTCTTTCCTACTTTCCTAAAACAGCTATGTAAAATTTGGAGTTACAGCGCATTGCTATGTAGCTGGATTCCTAACAACAAGCCACACTAATTTCTGTCAATTACAGACTATTTAAGTTTCTGGGCTAGTAAGATCTTAATAATAACAATCTCAAAGTATCCTTTCATGTGATTTTGAATGGTTAGTTACTCATTAGAACAAAAGGTAGCTCTGAATTTTTGATAACAGATTCTGATCAGATATAGCCATGACTATGAACTATATTTTAAGAGTATAGATGTAACTGAACGCTTGTCAAGGGTATTTGCTCTGCTGGTGAGTAGTAATCTACTCTCCTTTGGCATAGATAAATGGGACAGATTGACCCTGACTGCCAAAGCCAAAAACAACAAATAAACAGTTAACCCGTATGCAGATTTCATACGCATTCTTCAGGGGCTTACAAATGGAAGATCCCATGATTTATAAATAACTCAAATGCAAATGTGTGAAAAAAGATTGTTTATTTGTGTATTTGGATCTTTAACAATCATAGAATCTTAAATATTTAATGCTGATTCTAAATAACAAGATTAATAACTTGGAATTTAACCTTTCCAATATGATCAAACATTAAGGTATAATTAATAGTTAAAAAGTGTGTTATCTGGCCATACTGGGAGTAGGTTAGTGATAGCTGGATGTTTGTGGTAAACACAGCATTCCTCCATAACCATCATCTGCCAATTTACACCAAGCTTGTTTTCGATTTTTTGGGCAAAGATGTTGAACAATAAATGTTACTTATTGCTGCTGTGTTAACCTATACTACGTTATGGTAAATTGTTATCATATTTTGAACTTTCCTTCAGTAAATACACTAAAACTTATAATATGTTATAATTCTGTACATAACCAATATTCAAGATACAAAGGAAAGAGGAATATTGATGGTTATTAAGCATCTATATAATGGTTTTTAAATCTTGATACATAATGTTTCAGTTTGTTCTACCTCTTTAGACATAGTACAAAGCAAAAATAAATTTTTGTGTATCTTCCTTTGTAGTTTGTGATGGCAACGTTTTCTGGCATAGACTTCCATCCTTGGGGCGTGAACACCTGTATACCCAAAGACTTCTTGGTACTCCCAATTATACTCAATCAAAGGACGATTCTCGGTTTGGAGAGCGAAGTTCATCAATCTAAATGAGCATTATCCCTGCTTCGGACAAATTTGATTTTTTTTACATAATATAGATTTGAATGTCTTCTTTTGAATAGTCATAATTTAATTTGGGTAATATTTCTAGATTTTTCGCAAAAAAATATTAGCGCAGTACATTGATGAACTTCTTTCCCCAAATCGAGACTTGTATTTTATCGAATCGGTCTAATTGAGCGTTATCCCTGCTTCAGACCAATTTGTTATTTTCACATCTTGTAGATTTAAATGTCCTCTTTTGAATATTCATAGTTTAATTTGGGTAATATTTCTATATTTTTCATGAAAAAAATTATTAGCCAAGGAGACTGTTCTCCAAACCGAGAATCGTCCTTTGACAGGTTTTACTACAAACACATTGTTTTAATAAAAATAGAAGAACACACTTACCTAACTTTCCGAATTCCATGGCAAGGTTCTGATACCATTGTTGGAAGTTTTCCTTTCCGTTCTCTGGAACCTTTACAATGTGGATCCTGCTCTAGGCCTCCGTTATAATGTTCAGGTCCTTGGTGACAGTCTATATTCTCCAATCTATCACATAACGTGGCATGCTCAGCTATCTCCTTATTGTCATTGTAATCCTTTATATTATTACACTCTTTGCTATTACACTCCATGTTATTACATTCTGTATTATTACATTCCGTCGTTTTATAATCCCGATTTTGTTGTTGAGTGTAGTCAGGGGTAATATTGTTGCCATTAGGAGAGGGGTTGTTGTGTACTATTGCCGTGGTTACGATGCCATTGGGCAAATGAGAGTGAGGTGAGTGGGAGGCAGACAGATGAATGTTTGTTGCGACAGTTTGTAAGCTAGTTGTCGAACTAGCCATTGAATCTGAGACTTGACGTGATCGTGGAGACATTTTTCCAGAATTTTTTCGTGAAGAGTCTGTCAGTTTTGAGGAGTGTGGTGACTTGAGACTTGAACAGTGACTACAACGCGAGCATGGGCGGGAGTTATCCTGCAATTAGGCATATAAAATATAAGATTATTTCATGCTCAACATATACTGTACAAGTACAATTGGGAATATGTACATTCTTTTTAATCAATCAATCACTCATGAAAAAATCATTTGTGTACAGTATATTCATTTTAATTTTTTCAAAAGAAACAAAATTCAACCTTGCTTTTGTGCAATTGTTTAAGCTTCTGGCATCAATATAACTTATTAATACTGATAAACTAATACATGTAACTATTGAGTAGCTTAATAGTATTATTCTACCTTATAAGTAGACAAAACCATGAAGCCAAAATCTTATTCTGGGGTATGTTTTTGGAACCATTGTAACTTACGATTTGGTCGCAAGTCATTGTTTTTGAGAAAATAATCTCTTTTTGAAAAATGGCACAATTTGGTAAGCCCTCTAGTTTCTCATTCTTAAAAGTTAGATTAAGTAGCAAAAAGGTTTAAGAAGCAAAAGGTTAAGTAGCAGAAGTAGGTCAAATTCCAAAAGTATGTCAAATAACAAATATATCATGCATGATAACCCAGTTTAAGTTATTAGACAACAGCCAGTGTTGTTTGTCTGGAAATAGTTGAAGGAAAGACTATGTGAGCCAATCACTTTTGAGTTTGAAAAGTAATTTACTTTTGGATCAGAAAGTGCCTATCCAGACTCCTACTAAAAAGGCAATCATCAACACAAAGAACCTGAAAATCCATCCCTCATCCAGCCTCCACCTCTACTCTTGCTCTACTACTATGCTTATGCAGTCAAAATAAACATATCTCTGGTTACTGGATCTTATGACCTTGCTTACGTAGAGATACCACTAGAATGAACTTACATATCTTAACAAATTCTGGACAAACACCATTCTGCCATGTTTTTTATTATTTATTTATATACTGTACTGAATTACTAATAATCTTAAATTTCTCATTCTCATCAATAAAACAAATCTGATTCTCACAAAAATAAGAACTTTTAGAGTTTGATGTTTTTTTCAGAAAGGGATGGCTATCATTCTGATTTGATATCAGGTTGAATGAGGTATTACGTACCTGAGTTTTAACTTCACTGCTGCTTTCTGGGAAAGAATTCCTATCACTGTATGATGTGAGGGAGGGAGGTGTGGGGCTTGTAGAGTGGCTAGTCCGTACACTAGTAGAGATCTGTCCAGATCGGTCACGAAGAACTGCATTCTCTTCAGCCAATTGCAGAATCTTTTTCTCCAAACTGAAATATACAGGATGTCCAATATGTAAAGCTAATTTTGCTAAAAAATGTGATGAAATATGGTGATGAATAGTTGTCATAGTAACTGGAAATAGGGGTTTTGTGGGGCAAACTATAACATCACAAGAATATATAGTTCAACATATGATGCCATTCATAAAATAAGACAAGAAATTACAAGTCTACATACTCGTATAATGATTTATAAACATGTGCAAATAAATACATAAAAAATAGTGTATTTGAACCAAGTTGTTCGAGATATTTTTATACAGATTTTATCCACATTACAGATTTTTATCCACATTTGAAATTTTTAATAATACATGTATTGTAAGATGATGCAATAACATGTATGGTATATGTTTATGTATCAATGACCCATAAAATAACATTCATAGTCATAAAAGTAATAATAATGAAGTTTTAAATACATTTGGAGGCCAACTGAGAACAGGAAATCTTGAAAGATCAATATTTAAGAAAAACAACTTTTCTACATTGAATTGATAATGTTGAATAAAACCTGAAAAAGATAAATCATGTTGAAACAGTTTCAAGTTTCTGGTTTTCTGAATAGAGTATTTACATGCATTAACTTTCTTTTGAACATCAATAAAGTATGAGACAGGAAAAGAAATGAACTTATTGGGAACTCATCATATACTGTTACACACAGCCTTAAAAATAGGTCAACTTGATATGACCCTCTATTCACATTTCAAGAGGTCCATTTCCCTGTTAATATTTTATTGGGGCACTGCATCAGACTGTATCCACATATGTACTCACAATATACATTGTGTTTCTTCCAGCTTTTGACTTCCACATTTGAAAACATATTAAGTTTAAGACCACATAGGATACTAAATTAATCTATCAACCATTTGATCCTTCACAGGAGACAGTTCAATTTAATTAATGTAAAAATCTCATTGTGTTTTGACTTCAGCTTGATCTATGATAGCATATCAGTCAAAACTGTTGTTTAGTGGAAAGAAGCCAGTTTTTACGTAACTGGAGTCTTCAGTAAGAGGTGGTCAAAAAATACTGAAAATATTTTATGGTATGATGTTGTATTTGGCACATAGAGGTTGAAATGAAAAATCATCTTAAAACTTAATCATGAGAGAATATTGGTTTCACATTTCTGTGTATACATGTAATGTTTTACTTTAAATTATTTCAAAATTTTTCTCTTCTACCGTTGTCACATTTCGAATATTTGCTCAAATAAAAAGGGAAAAGAAGAAAGTTTTTGAAATGTTCACTTTGAATATGCTATTGGATTATAAAGAAATCTTTTTGTCATATTTCTAATCTTCCACATTGGGGCATTAATAAAGCAGATGCGAGTAGGTAATTACCAGTTTCACCACCAGGTGGCTCGTTCGGGTCAGATAGCATGGCGGGTATAGTAGAAAGTTCCCTTTAACTTAAATTACATCTGTTTTAGTGGTTCAATTTTCATATAACCCTTATGTATCTTATAGTTATGCAAATTGAAATAAGTTCAGTAAAAGAAAATGTTATCTGTCCAATACAAGGAAAGATATTTCACTTTTTGTGATTTTGTACCATGAGGTCTTTTAAGTATTTGGGGAATCAACCCGAACTAGAAGTCAAATTTTCCCAAAAAATTAAATTGTCAAAGTTGATAAATAATTTTTGCAACCATATTTCTAAATGTACTTTTACATGTTGATTTCAAATATGGCATCACTTTGACTGAATTTTGAATATTAATGATGTGAATCAAGATGATGTCTACTCCCATCAAGTAAATTTCTTATAGTTTTTGGACAATATCAATATAGTCAATTTGTATGTTAATGTATACAAATCGATGTACTGTATTTGAAGCTATCTATTAGCAGTCCGTATTTCGGATGAACAAACCGGGAACTCATTCTGCTCTTTTGAGTGTAATACAAACATACCACAGCTTATACTAAAAAATTTAGGGACACGCCATCATGATAAACCATGTCATCTCAGCCCTTTCAGGTGAAACAGAAAGATGCTATGAGTATCAGAATGGGGACAAGCTTTTTTATCCCTAATTGATTCAACATTTTATAATCTGTTAGAACCCCTGCTGAGATGCCAAAGACTATGTAAGAAACATCTAGGCTATGTAGGTCTATTTAATACATTGACATAAATCATCCTTATTCTAATTTATAGGGTTATGCTGACTCACAAACAAGAAGTTTCCATTTGCAGGCAATATGTACTGGCAAGAAGCCCAGAGTTGGGACCAAATATTAAGAAGGCATTAAAGAGGCCAAATATCACTACCTGATAAAAATGTAACAATTTGTTACATAAACCTCTAGCTCTAAAACACCAAGTACAAAAAACAATAGGTACTTCTTGATATAAAAAAATAATTCCAAAGTCTAGGGCATTAGTTTTTAGACCTCTGGGTACCATTTTTAGTTTCTAGCCTGTCAGGGATGGGAAATGATGCGAGACAGAGTAAAAGACAATTCAGAACATTTTTTATGATCAATTTATTGAGTTTGGTGGTTTACCACTCATATTGAAATAGCCAAGACAAAGGAACCTTTGGGTACAGGCAAGTAAATATAAAATGAACAGAGGTATTAAGTGTCCTCATTTCACTAGGGTTTTGGACTAAAATTGAATAGATCTTTGTGTGAATCCCATGGATTGTACTTCACTATGTGCAGTGTTTGTTGAAAACACTAGGTACCTGTTGGCCTCTTACAAACCCAGATATGGGGGATTTGTCACTTGGAACTCTGTCTTTCCAAGAAACCCCTTTTCATGTTTGCTATCCTGTATTAAGGTCAGGATGCATGTTCAAAATTTCGCTGCAACCCTCGATAGGGTCACATGTTATTTTTCAAATTTGAATCACTGCTTCCCCACAATGTCTACATCTCTCGCATTTGCGCAACGAGTGCACTAATAAACCTAGAAAAGAATGTAAAGAAGAATGTTACGATGAAATGTATAAAAACAAGAAAATTCAGTGAAAAAATTCAGAAAATTTTTCAATTAATTTTCTCGTTTTTTACACATTTTACAAAACAAATCTTCTCACCAGTCTTTTCTAGGCACATAAGTGCACTCTTTGTGCAAAACTGGAAGATGGAGACAATGTGGGGAAGGAGTGATTCCTGTTTGAAAAATAACATGTGACTCAATTGAGGAATGCAGAAAAATTCTGAACATGCACCCTGGCCTTAATCGTTCTACAATATCTTAGAAAATCTTCCAAAATATGTGTTGGACATTGTCAGTTCCTATATACTCCATCATGATATACCATGACATCTCATTTCTTCTCAGCCCTGAGATGCCATGATATAATGAGCTTGCCTCATAATATCAGAGCATGTTTCAGGTGAAACAGAAAGATGCTATGAGTATCAGAATGATATACTCATTTAACAAGGATATATAAAACATCTTAACTTAGAAAAGAAGGTTCTTCTTAGTTTCTGTTCACATCTACCTTCAGAAAGTTGGGTCTACCATGAGACATGCTCACTTCCAGTATGATATATGTACATGAAAAAGATGGGGTTTTCAGAAGCGTGTGTTAATTTTACCAGTTTTTGGGCTCTTGAAGAAGTTTATACCTTCAATGGAATGATATGCCAATATTCTGGCCAGTCTCTTGCTTTTAAGGCATTGAGTTGTGGAGACATTAATAAGGACCTATGAACAGTCAAATTGATCAGATCTAGCATGAAATATAATCAAAGCAAATAGAACATATATTTAAACAACCAATCTGAACAAAGTTGATCATGACCTTAAAGCTTAACATAAAACCCTAAAACATGAAAACTATCAATGAATTCAAGTCTCTAAAGAAATGAGCATGTGTGGCAAGCCTCCATACTCAACTTCAATGCTTCTATATCTCTCACAAAAAGATAACTACCTGTCATGAACTTTTTAAAACCATATAAAAGCTATAATATAATTTTTAACTGAATCCATATGAACGAAAGGTATAATTTCAAATCAAGACAAGGCATTAACATGCAAAATGCCATTTGTTACAGACACAAACCACTGAACACCATTGACAAGATATTGGAGACTATAACAATATGTCACCACTTCTGGAAGTGACATAAAAATCATAATAATTAATTTTAGCTCAATTCAAAGCAACCATATTTCAAATTCATTTTCAAAGATTGACTTCAATTCTTGAGTATTTCATCATTAATTTATTTTATATTTTTCCTCACATTTTATTTGTTGCATACTTAAATTAACAAAATTGTTACCGATAAATAAATAGGCATGTATAATGTAAGACGATCAATATCTATCAATCAAACCCTGAAATACAAGAAATGTAGAAATGCTATTTTTTCGCTAACAGTGAAAACATTTTAGAAATCAATTTTAAACACTGGAAGTTACTATATAAACATTTATCACCATCAGCAATATCTCATCAAGTACCCTGTTCAATTAATTTGTTTTTGCCTCTTAATGGACCATTCAAAGTTCTGCATGAGACCCACCCATGCAGGATGGGATATGAATCTGGACATGTTAAAAAAAATTTGATTGTCAAACTCCCCAGAGAGCGATAATAGCTGGTCAAATGTAGCCATATTAAATCCAATCATCGGGAATATGCATTTTAAAAGTTCCTACTCCCAGGACAAAGTACAATGTCAAATTCAAGTATTAATGGGACAATGCTCATGTGGGATTCCTGACCATCCTCACAAATCCTTTGAATGGTGCATTAGAAGAGAGCTTTTACTATTAGCCTATTAATAGTGAACCGTCATACTGCAACAATTTGAGAATTCAAAAATTAACATTTCATCTGATTAAAAAAAGCAGTTTGCAAACAGTTCAAAATTTGGTAAATTTTAATAGTCTCTGCCAGAAAAGGAACTCTGGAGTCCAAATAAAAAGTATGTCATTACTGCGTTAAATAGGACTAAAGATATAAATGTTCTGTTGAGATCGAGAAGAGGATCAGACAGGATTGACCCGTCTTTCCTAAATACACAAACTTAAACCATTTACTTGGTACCTCTTTGAACCATCATTTCTAAGTTAGCAAATAAAGCTTTTACCAGCTTAAAGAAATATTTCAAGGCTAACAATGTTGACAATACTGCAGCAAGCAAGGTCACCGTAAAACAACTGAAAAATAACATTGTACTTTTAAGTTATAGAACATGGTATATGATAAATCTAAACTTAGAATGTCCCCAGATTAATCATGAAGGAAAATAATTACATGTTGTTGATGTCACTTCTCTTAAGAACTACCTAAAGTATTTTAAAAGAAGTTTGTATTTGAAAAGAATACTTAGAAGCTTTGAGTTATGAAGCAATGAACCCACTCTAATATCATATTCTAAGTTTATAAACTGGTGAAAAGGAAGGTAAAAACATGAAAAACATTGCAAAAATAAAAATAGAGAAAAGCAAGGAATTTGAGAGAAAAATAAGGAATTTGAGAGGCCCACATTTTTTTTTTTTTATAATTTATTTATTTCAAGTCAGGAAAATAATTTGGGCCCTTAAAACCCAAAATTGGGCCCTAAATTTTTTTTCTGGGCCCACCTGGTTTCGCCAGTATGATGGGATAGGGTTCTATTTAATTGTTTCATTTGGTTTGAGACATTGATTTTCTATAGTCGGATCAAACAAACTCAGAAATCGATATTAAAGTTTATATTTCAGTAGAAGGGGTGAAATTCAAATCTTTGACCTGTTCTAAATCTTTGACCTGGGATTTTAATAAAAACAAATATAGAGATTAGATTGGGACATCTCTATTTCCCAAAATATATATTTAGTAGGATAAAGCTACTGAACCATAAGGGGTACCATAACAGATAAGAACAGTTTACATCATTTTTAAATCATTAACAATGTTATTCCAAGCATAAATTAAAAAGTTACCTTTGAAATAAGTTAGAAAAAAGCTTTACACAAGCTTTATTTATTTGTCAAAAGGTGATTTTTCAACACGAGGTAAACTAACAAACAAGATTCCTGAAGTAGCAAGTAATATTTATCATTTGTGATCTCATTTTTTGTCAACTTAACTTTGATTACCTGACTGATATCTTATAAAGAAGAATTAAAAAAATGTCATAAAATATACTTGAATCTCAAAAATGTTTAAAAAAAAGTAACTGATATATTGGCTTATCTTAGTATTAACTTATTTTCAGGATCAAAACATCATTTTATTTCGTCTCGCAATGTTGAAAGGCTAAACATACAAAACTAGAATTTCTCAAAACATGATTTCTTTTTACACATAATGAGTCTATTTTTCAAATAAGAGATAACAAAATGTTTAACCTTCACGTAGGCATAAATACGTTTTGAATGGATTATACCACACTCGCTCCTGGGTGCATTATCAATAGTATTGCCAATAGTTTTTAAGAATCATGAATTAGTGAGTGGTCTTACTTGTTTCTAAATACTTACTGTCCATAAACCTCTTGTAAATATATAGAAAAATGGTTAAAAAAATCCTGGGAAGAATACTGATTCATAAATCTAAAAGACTGATCCAATATAGCCCCTGAAGGGTGCTATAAAATTGCATAAACTACATATTCAGTGTAAATTTTCATGCATCTATTTTATATATGGGTACTTTCTTGATACTTCTATAAAAAGCAATTTTAATACTTTTTTGATAAATTAACATCATGAAATAATCTGCCTGTGGGTAAAATCTAGCGATACAAAACATTTGTGATCAAGGTATTTTTTCATCGATTGACAAGGTAGAGCAAGTTTGTATAAAGACTATTTGAATAAAGCTCTGATATTGAAATAAACATGTAAAAAAGCTAATATTTTGAATCATGAATGAGTTATATTAAAGTAATTGTATAGTAAATCAACATGCTTACATCCTTTAGCGAAAATATCAAACTTCCAGTCATTCATACGAAATGTTTCAACATATTCAAAAACAACTCATAATCAAAAATATTTTAAAATTCAACCTGATTCAATCACAAATTTTCATAAAAAATTGTTTTAGGAGAATATGAATATTATCTTAAATTATGATTAACCTTTTTACAGTCGCTGACTCACTAAACATGTTAGCAGACTGTTTGTACCATGGGAATTCACCCCAGTAATCATAAATCTGCTGACCTCATTATTTTAGAAAAAATGTTGCTTTTGGTAAATCAGGGTCATTATTATAAACATTAAATATTTTACACATCAAATATCAGGATACAAACATTTCATCATTTATTTATGTTTTGAGTTCATATCTTTTACTCTTAATTGTCATAAATATCTTTGGATTCTATTATCTATGTTCCCCTACCTCAGTAGAAGGGTTAGATACTTAAATTTGAAATATAAAATGTATGTGTATACTGGTTTATAAGCAAAAGCATATGCAAAAGCAGAATTTAAGAAGTAGGCTTGTCAATGTTTAAGAAATCTTGAGGTACAAATCCATTATAATCTCTAAAAGACACCTAATATGAGTAAACATAGTGACTTGAGATGTATTTTTAAAAGGACATATCTCAAGAAATATCTAGAAAATGGCAAATTCCTTTAGTAGCAAATCACAATATACATAGTTTTATTTCCAAAAATCTTTATTAGTTGTATTTGTTCTTGTTTGAGTATCAGAATGTGTCTAATGTATCCTATCTTACCCTCTCCTTCCACGCAAGATTGTGGCAATATCAGCACACAATGGGACGATTCCTTTCCTGGTGCTGTTGACAACAAAAGCTACGGCCCGCGCTGCAATGTCTTTGTCCTCAACCACCGCATGAAGTCCATGTAACCCATTGATCTCACTGTTAGTGCTGCTACCTACAATAATAGAAAACAGGGATTTCACTAGAATTTCTCACAACAGGTTGAACAAATGAAAACAACAGGCAATATTTATAAAAATTATAAATTATCAATGTCTCGTATCAAGCTTCTATTTTCTATTTTACTCCTTTACTCAAGAGAGAAGTTGGAAAGGGTAGCATTAAAAGCCTCATATTAGTTTATTTCATCAGTTTGGTTTTCTGTCATACTCTTTTTTATAAATACATACATGTAGTATCAAATCATGCAACACAACGTGGTAAGAGAGGTTCTAGTAAAGAATATCATCAATGTTTTTTTGTAAAAGTACTTTGCTAGGCACAATCATTTTACATCCATCAACCTTATTCCATATACATGTACTTGTAATGTTTGTTATTTGGAGGCTATCCATACTTCAGCATATGAATTGTATTTCTGAATGGTGTTTTACAATACTGTACAGAATGATCAACACAGAACTAGTTAGAATGTCCAAAGAACATTTACTATAAGTTATTCAACAATTCAAGTATAAAAAATAAAGATTTTTTTATACCAGAGAAAGTCATATTTGGAGAAGATATATAACTTATGGGAGTAATTAATATATGAGTAGTAAACATCATACGGGTCCTAATCCAGTTGTTCACATGACATCATAGCATCAGAATGCCAGTAAGAAGGTTATGTTACCCTCATATAACTGTTGAATGCTATAATGTAGCCCATAACTCAACCTAAAATGATAACATCAAGCAGTGGGGTCTTTATCTCAAGGTGCTAGATGTAGAGGCAATGTATACCTTGTGTGCATACCATACCCCGAGCGGTTTAGTTATAAACTAACCTCTAAATAGGTTTGACAATTTACAGTTTAGCAGCCTTGCCTACATTGCCAGTGGCTGTCACACTTTGCGACATAGATCATATCAAACCCACCACTTTTTAAATTCTGACAATTAAAAGCTCTTATCTGATTGGCTCGGTAAGTTCAAAGGTTTATCTTAAACTTAGAGTGAAAATGAAACTACATTTTTGCAAGCTAAGTCAAACGAATACAAAGGGTATATATTATTAGGTATAATAACCACAATGTATTATCTAATCATGATTAAATTATAATGTTTATGTATTTTGATATCTAACTCACAATTTTATATTATGATATTAACTAGAAAATAGCAACCTTACAAAGTAGCAAGTCGCAATGTGCAAAATCTGAATCTAATTTTCATGAATCTGAAAGATGTTATGATAATTATTTGAACATTAGAGTATGTCAACATTTGAACGCAGTGCTCTAGACACCATCCGTTACATTCCTTCCTTCTTCCAGAAGAATGAGGTATAAGTTCTGGAGGCCTGTGTTTGGAGGATGGTGTATATTAAATGGATGGATATCTTGCTTTAATGGAGAGCCTGGGATCTTCATTCTCCAAATTGTAGTTTTCTTGGGTCTTCTCATGGTCTTTCAGAGTTCTGTAAACTTGTGACTAAATAATCTTGCGACCCAATAATCCCAGACATCCCGCCCCATAAATAACACTTGATGCTAAATATATCATTCTATATTACAACACACAGAATGGAAACAACAGACCAACGGAATGTTCAAATACTAACAAATCATTTGATTGCATGTTGACGGCAACAGAATATGAAAACAATTTTATCATCAGCAAATTTTGGCTTATGTACAGGCATACTTTTAGTGCCTCTTTCAAGTGTCTGATTTCACATCTTTAAAGAATATACCGTATTTGCCGTAATTGGCGCCCATGTTCCTATTAGCGCGCCCCAGACTTTTGGAGGCCCGAGGGTGAGTCCTTGGTTGAAGAATCAACGATCATTGTGGTCAAACGTAAGAAGTCAAGTGGGTGATAATAGGTCCCAACATGTAATTCCAAATTGAGGCTGAGTAAAAATTCGAATTCGATTCAGCAGGTATAAGTCCGTTTTCCTATAGATTTATCGAGTAAAATACTGATGTAAGTACATATTTTATATTCCATTAGTGTAGCAAAAAGAGTGGGATAGGTAAGAACCCCACGGTCCATGCAAACATGGCGAATTTCACGAACCAGAATTTTCTTCCAATTTTTCTAAACTGAAAATGAAACTCCGGCATCTTTTCTCAGGCGGGACTCACATGGGCGCTTATAAGGACAACTTTTTGAACTGTTTTGACTTACTTTAAGCGCCCGGGCGCCTACTACGGCAAATACTGTACATGTATACTAACATATTTCTTCAGATATTCCTCTGATCATAAACAATTACAACAAAAAAATTTATTTTTTGATCCAACAATACAATATTGTGGCATATAAAATGGTAAAAGCTGAATAATGAGGAGGGGTTCGGGGGAATGAGTAGGGGATGTGCATGGTGTGATGGAAAATTAGGTGGGAGAATAAAAGAACGCGAGGGCCGGCGGTTACCCTTCACACCCAATCTTGTTATAAACTACCCTCTACCTAACATATACTAAATAACAGTTTAGCTGCTCCGCCCCCACGCTCCCACAACCAGTGCCTATTACAACCCAGGTCATAAATCATTTCAAACTTACTGTGCTGACTTTTCATCAACCAATCAGCATGCTGGAAGGAACACATGCTAAATGCTTGGTCATTAACTATGCAATGATGTCAGAGGAAATGACCATTTTAGAAAGTCGTCCATATTTTGATGATGAACTCTGATTGGCTTGTTGAGTTCAGAGATTTAAGCACAAGCTCTCTTCTAAGAAGCATAGTCAAACGAATACAAAGGGTATAAGGAGATAAAAGGTTCTTGTGAGACAACTAGATATAGTTTATGTGGTTATTGATAATGGCATCACAGAGCCTCATCTAAACCAACAAATCAACTAATTCAGATATAGTAAGCAGTAAAAGTACAAACTATATATAGATCCCAGAATTAGGTAAATATTTTGTTTAGGTTTGAAAGATGATGATTAATTGTTTGTGTTCATTCTTCAAGTGGAGTCCATCTGTGGTACTTCATACCTAATAAAACAATTTACAGTTTTCTTTATACTTTCTTCCTTCATCATTCAAAAATTTGTATTCAATTTTACCTGTTTGATATTAGAACAAAAAGCCAATTGATTTCTTCAACTATAACATAATTACTCCAGGGGGGGGGGAGATTTCCCAAAGATGACCTTTCGTATTGGCACATTCGAAAACAAATTTTATAAACAGGCCTCATTTGCCATTGAAATGGATCTCCAAATGTTCGCTGTAGTTTTATGAGTATTCTCTAAAAGTATGGATCGAGTAACTTCAATAGTATTACCATAGGTTTGAAATGATGATGTTGAACTGATGTTATCGCCATTCCCACGATTTCAAATTTAAATTTGCGCATGCGCAGCACTGAGAGAGCATGTGCTCATGATTGTTCACGTGATCACATCCTGCAATTTGATTGGAGATGATGCGGGAGATGATGTAATGGGGAATCCCCGAATACTATAGAATATGAAAGAATTATGGGAGCTACTCACTTCTTCTGTAATTACTCCTAATATATCAAGTTCACTGACAAAGGTCGCATTATTCCTCATTTTCAGATTTAAGCCATCTTGATACATCAGAGTATTTTCAAGGAATATACTGGTTTAAAGGCACACTGTAATATACAGCCGATAAAATGGTACAAATTTTTTTTAGAGTTAGATTTAGAGTCGATTTGATGGTTTAAAACCTTCTCTGATAATTCAAAGTCGCCTATTGAACCTTGAAAAGCCATATTAAGACTGGGGATTGAAAGTTGTATACGACACTGGGACGTCACAGAACCCACTTCCAGTTTTATAATCAATGATTTTATAAATCAAAAAATATTCTTATGAATTTGTCCAATATCTGCTTAAATATGGTATGTATACCGTACTTGCGTTGATTGGTTAATTGCAAACTAAATAAGGTAAAGAATATGTCAAAGTCATTTGATCTCGTCCCAGAAGCAATATTTTGTCACTTGTATCTCCCAGAATTCCTTTAACAGCATGAGATCAACCTACAATGCTTTACTATCTGTCCAGTTATATCATGTTTTTGCTCTATGTATTGTTACAAGGGGCTTCTGGGAAACATCCATTCTTAAAAATGCTCGGTTTTTAGCTGAAATGTCAAGTACATATACTGAATAAAGATGAATACTGATGGGACTGGCTGCATTTAAGTATAGTGGTCACTCTGGTCACTACTTGAAGAACATCAATGATTATCTAATCCTATCATATCATAATCATGATTCACCTTTACGTACTGACATACAGGTGTATAGGGGGCATCTGAAATATACTAAGAAACATCTTATCTTAAAAAAAGATGTAAGAAATGATATCTAATAACATCTTCCACACATGTCGAATACCGTGACCAAATTGGCCTTAAGCCTGTTTTTTAGCAGATTTAATAGTGGCCACCGAGTGCATTCATCACTTATGTACTAGTATTCTAAACATAAGAAGGAACCAAAATCAACATGCTTAACAAACAAATTTGAATATATATTCTAGTGACTGATTTTTTTTTGATTTTTTCGTAAAACTTAAAAAATAAATTGTTATTGAGCCGACACTCACAAAAATGGAACAACATCATTATAATATTTTCTTTTCAGTATGAAAGAATAGATAACCATCGGAACAAATAATAATAAATCAATTTAGCCTATTTAATAAATCTATAATGTAGGTTTTTATCATTGTAACAGCCTACTTATAAAAATAATAAATATAAATAAAAAAGTGCAAAAATAAAAGATGCTCAAACTGAGAAAAGTGTCATTTTAACATTTATTAAGTACATGTAAATACATGTACATGTGTCCTTATGTACATTTTTTGAGGTAAGCGATTTAGACAATATAACTATGATTTATACATGTTTAGCTCCCCTTCACTCAGTATGTGCACTTAATGAATAAATGTTAAACCAAGAGTAAGACGTGAGAGTAAGACCCTCTAAAAGTTTGTCAATGATTTCTCTTGA